GGGAATTCCAGTAGCTAGTGTTAATTGTTAGTGGTATGGCAAGCTAAATACAGCTTTCAGCAGGGATTGCCAGTGGAACTTAAAGGATTTTAGTCCACCATGGCCATGCTAGACTTTGGGGCCTGAAGTCCTGGTCAGTCTAGATCTCCTGGAGCATCCTACAGCTTTTTTCTGGCCTGCCTGTTCAGCAATTCTGAACAGAAATGGGGGGAGACATGCGAGGGTCTCACCCTGCCAAGCAGCTGGGAGGTCATCCAGACACAGGAGCCGGGAAGCAGCGTGGGAACATTAGTAGAGACATGACCGATGGTAAAAAATTGTGCACGGGCTTCTTCTGCCCTCACTGACGCAAGCGAAAGGTTACCTGAACTCAAAATCCCATCAGAGAGCTTATATAAAAAGTGTTTCTGTCAACTGGGAGACAAGGTCTTCAATTATTTAATAGATGTTTATAATTCTACCGTGTACATATATGAATTTTTTGTTGGCTGCTCTGAAAGTGGTAGGTACTTTAACCGCTACAGCTAAATTCATTACAATTTGTTGAGGAACACTCTTGGGTCTGTAATTGCCAGCATTTTGTTAGTTTGCCAAAGTGTGAACAGTGCTAATACTCTATTATTTACAGATATTGAGGGGATGAATTTTTAAGTTTAATTCTACAAACTGAAAAAAAAAAAAAAAAAAAAAAACAGCAAAATTTCAAAACCTTTTTTTTTTTTTTTTTTTCCAGTTAAAGTATCGAGGGCAATCACTATTAAGCCTACTGAAGTTGCTATGAATTTTGGTATTAGCTCATACTGGCTACAGGAATAGTCTCCTGGAAGTCTCCAGATGGCTTCCAAATGGAATATAATTTATGAGAAACAGACTGGGCTTCTGTATGGCAGAAACGAGCATTTCAAGTACATAAGCTAACCCTTAACAGAGCTATTAAACCTAATGCAACAGTAGTAGAAAAAAAACTAGAAAATTTTTTTCTTTTTGTAAAAAAGATCAAGTTCCACACTATATTCTGTATATAAACACAGGAACTTATACAATCAGTAAAGATCTTCTATTGATAATTACCAAATGATGCTTTATCAATCCTGCTGACACTACTGTTCATCTCTGAAGAGGCAGCAGAGATATTTTAAGTCCTGTCCAAACTCCTCAGCTTTCTCAAGCCATGAAAAACTCCTCTGTTCACTTAAGACAGCAATATAACCATGTACAGTTCCTGCAAACATGAAATCTTTGCAGTTAGAATGAGCAGCATCAAACCTTGATGATATGAAAGTCATACCACAAAACATACAATCCATGACGACACAATAAAAAAAAAAAAGAGAGAGAGCCAGTGATAAATATAACACTCAGGACACTGCAGTTGAGAGGTACTTGTGTTACTGGTGTGAAAAAATAAATTTATAATTACTCATATAATTTTCTGTGGCTTTCACTTACTCATACGAGTGACAAGATGATTTCCTGGTTGTAAGCTAAATATATTGCTCCAGCTCAGTTATCCTCAACAATATACGTTACATCACTTGTGACTTCCACCTTTCACAAAGACTTTTTGCACGGCTAATTATTAGTTACCAGAGCTGTCAAACTTACACGCAAGAACTTAATACTTAAGGGCACAGAGAGAGCAATGGAGAAACAGCAATAAACATTAGTAATGCAATCAGTAATAGAGAGCGTCAAGCAAAACGGAATCACTGAGGGGGTTTTTGTCTTACATGACCATTGAGGAATTATGTATGTATAATACGCAGTTTTACATCTATTTTTAAAGGAAGACTATGGAACATCCTCTCATATTTACTTTATATATTAATTTTCCTTTACGTATGAAAAAGGTCTCCTGCCAGTCTTCAAGAAAGGAAGACTAGATGCATTGAAAACCACTGATAATTTCACCCTTGAAATAGTCTCTGTTCATTATCAAGGCATTATGAAATTGTCATTAAGTGATTTAGCATCGCTGAGTTCAATGAAAAGTCAAAATTTGCAGGTTATCCATTTCTCTACAAAAAGCATAGGAAAATATGAAATGGGCCATTATAAAAAAAAAAATCAATTCTTCTTGTTTGAATTACAGTTATACAACACTGCAGTATGAATTTCTTTGGGCAGGGACAGAGAGAATAAAATTATTTCTATTTATTAGTTACAAGAGCAAGCATGTTTAACTCCAGTCCCAAAGTAAGAAATACTGGATTGAAATAGTCTGGGAGGGTTTTTGATCACATAGAAGAACAGTAAGATGTAAAGCCAGTTTAAAATATTTTTCTTTTAAAGAAGTATGTCCAGGAGAAAAAATAGTGGTTAAGGGGGAGTAGATAAAAATGTATCATAAAGAAAATTTGCCATTGTCATCATATAAAAAATTTAATTTTTGAACAAGTTTTTTTCTTTAAGGTATTGTAAAAAATCCCAAACGCCTACAACCATGAGTTTCTCTGATCTCATTCTGTTTCTGAGAAGAAGGCATTAGGCATTATAAAGGCAATACTTGCATGACCCGAATCAGAGGTTGCTACAGCAATTGAGTACAGTGAACTGGAAAAATCCTACTAGAAAACGACAAAACAGAAACATGCACTTAGCAATCTGCTGCCATTTTAAAACATGCATTTCTCCTCTTCCTCTTTCTGAGGTGTAGGGCATTTCATCTACAAGAATAGCAGCCACTTCAAAAAAATGCCGACTGCTCTGTATTCCTTTCAGATTTTAAGGTACGCTGACTGACCACAGAAATGAAGTGTATTTGACTAGGGGGAAAAAATTCATCCAGTAAACTTCGTATAGTGATTTTTTTTTTGCCTTGATAAATCTAGCTTGTTGAATCAGGTAGCACAAGATCTGTTGGGATAACTTGTTTTCTGAAAAACTAAATACTTTATTGGGATGTATGCTTTGAAGCACTTTAAACATCGGGATTAAATTATAAAGAATTTAATCCATTAAAAATGTAGCTATGTATGTCCTTAGTTCTAGGAGCTGGGAGTTTTACAGCAGTAAGGAAAAAACCCAAGACTTGGAAATTACGATAATCATGTGATAGTAACATTGTGTTCAAAAAAGTCTTTCTTTAGAAAAGCCACATCACTAAACAAAGTTATGACCCATGACCTCAGCAAAGAAACCCCATGAAATATTTTGAGCCTCCTTCTCAGATGCATTTGGACTTGACAGCCAATGCTAATCTAAGGCATAGAGTTGCATAAAATTTGCTCTCCTGGGCATATAATAAATACAGCATAAATGATGCTTACTTTTTTTTTTTTCTACTTGCACATTTAAAAAAACCTTCTGCTTAGGACAATCAGTTAAATTCTTTGGTGGTCATTTAAAAAAAATGAACTATACAAAGATAGCTGATCAGTTGTCCTATACTGAGGTAATTTGAGGAGTGCCATAAGAAAGCTGCGTTACAAACAACATTCGCCCATTCTCCCTGCCTAAAAGCAGCTCCCATTTTTTGATATACTCAGTGTAGACCTCTACAGCGACCTGAAGAGATCCTGTTCCATAGCCTGTCTTAACACATTGCATATAGCAAGGCTTAAAGTTGTAAAGAGAGTATATTCTACAGTCAGGAAAGCAAAGAAAGTTCTTCCATGTACTATGTCCTTGAATTGACCAGGAAGATTAATATGTAGTCTGCCGTAACATTGATATAATAGAATGCTGCCACACATTAAAATATAGTGTAGCTCATGGAGAAACAAAGAGAAAAGGAAATACAACTTGCAAAGACTTGACAGAAGCCATCTGAATGTCATTAAAGTGGTGAATGTCAAGCACAGTAAAAAAAAAAACAATCTTTCCATTGTTTGCCTAACTTCCCATTGTTTGCGTATGCTCTTCATACAACAGCATGAAAATCATGTCACCTGGCAAAGGGATTTTGGTTTGTTTTTTATGGAAAACCTAATGGAACATAGCCTTTTACTTTTGTTTGTTTACCAGAATAATCAATTATGTCCACAGAGCTCCCAGAGTGGTGCCGATCTGAACCTACAGTAGCAAGAGCACATAGTACTATAATTGCATATAAACAAAGCCTGTCTTGCTCCTTTGGTTGTTTTTGTTTGGTTTTGTTTTGTTTGTTTTGCTTTTTTTTTTTTTTTTTTTTCCCAATAAAACAATAAAGGGAATAGATTTTACTTTCCAAGGGACAATTCCCACCTACTTTCCAAAGGATGACTCCCATTACACTCATGAGAAAGGGAGGGCAAAACCAGGATGCAATACTTGACCTTGGCCCCTTTAAATGGGGAAAATAAGCTTTGGAAAAAAACAAACAAAACCTTACTCTGCTGCCTATGAGGAAAACATAAATAGATATTAGGATACTCTTTAACCTGTAAGAAATGTCAAAGCTACTCAATTAAGAGCCAAGTGTTCTTTGTGCTGCAATGGCATGTTGTTAGGAACAGCAAGAACACAGCAATTCTGTGCAAGTTTTCTGGCAGGTGGTGCAATATCATCTCATCTTAAACATTTAAGTAGGGTTGTTTTGTAGATATATGCAAATTAATCTTCTACTAGATTAATATTTTTGTGAAAAATTAACCAGGAAATTCAATTATGAAGCTATGTTCTGTTTAAGTAAACTGTAAATAACCTTATAAAGTCTGGTCTAACACAATTTCTAAACAAAGATGGTTTTCATTTTTTAAGCTGTTTACACTCATGGATTACTGTCTTGCATGTGATTCATCTTTGCATGCATAGTGTAAAACCCTAGAGTTTGTTTTTTAAATTTTTATGATCTACTGATGTAGGAGTGCTGACAAAAAACAAATTGATGCCTTTGTAAAGAAATGTATACAGAGACATTTTCAAATTAATAGTTAATTAGTAATGAGTAAAAGCTTACCCCACAAAAATCAAATCAGCTGCTACATTTTAAAATTCTTCTTATGTATGATAAATAAAATGAATTTTCCTGTAAAAGTTTTTAATTAATCTTTCAACCTGCTTTTTGAACATTAGAATAAATAAAACCATTAGTGCCTAAAAGTTCAAATATGCTACAGATGTTTAAGATAACAGAATAATTACATTAAAATGCACCATGAGAAAATTCTTTATCATGTTCCGTGCAGGAAGCCAACTGATATTTTTGTGAGGTACCGGTCTTTCAAAAATACTCATAAGTTAGTTACCTGATATACCTTCTGTACATGGTATATTTAAAAATCGAACTATACAGTGTTTCAATCATATATAATGCATATATTCTGCTGAATATGGCACAAATGCTAAGTTTCCACACCCACACATCCTTTGCCATAGAACACATTTTAGGCATAACACAACACTGAAGAATAGAAAAGTGCCTGAAACTGGAGGGGGAAAAAAAAAAAAAAAAAAAAAAAAAAAAGACACTCAAGTAGTAATAAATTAAATCCCATTCAAACCGATATAAAAGTTGTTCAAGTGTTTAAAGTATCAGATGTGTCATGCAACAGAACAACAGACGATTCAGGCAGGCACACCATGCATTTTAGTTTGCATTCACGGTATCACAAGGTATCTCTGCCCCTCCTGCGTGGCCAGGGAGTGCTGGGTACCTGTGGCACTGCTAGGTTCGTGGGTTGAACCTCCACAACCCCTCGGTCTCCTGCACAGGAGGTTTTACGGAGCTACGCCTCGGAAGGGCAACCGGACAACTTCATGCTGTACAGGGGTATCTTGCTGCAGCATAAAGAGAGGCATACTGAGCTGCATGTTAAGCAAAGCAATCACTTCTTGATTATATTTTCCCATCAGTGCAGTTCACCATAAACCAATCAATTTACCAAAATGTGCTTTTCTGAACTGGCCAAGTTTGCACATCAAGAAAACATCTTCGCAGAATATACTACCTTTTCCTTTTTTTTTTTTTTTTTTTTTTTTTTTTTTGGCACAAATCCTTTTGTACTCTTGCAGCAAGCTCTTCACCATACAAGAATTCAGAGATACTAGCCTGTACAAACACCAGTGCTTATTCTTCCATAGAGTAAACTACAAAGAGAGCTAAGTGCCTGCAACAGCTTTGCTTCTCCAGCAACTTTCCCTTCTCTCTCTAGGGAGAGCACCAGCATAATTACACTTCAGGCAAAGGGGTGTTCTTGCCGAGCTCTTTAATTCCCTGGAGAATTCGCTTCATATGACCCACTTTCGTTATCCCCAGGTCCTACAGAAATCAGAAGAAAAAAAGAGAAAAAGAAGGAAGTTTATTTACAAAAAGGGAAAAACACCACCACTGATTATGATCTAGCCATGCAATAGATGTCTATAAATCCGCTCATTGCAATCAATGTTAACCAGAAAAGATTCTACAGCACCAGCAAATGTTGCCTAACAAAAAAATTGCTTAGAGCATACAATGAATCCCTGTCTGTCTTGCAGACAGAAAAATTACTTACCTGCAATAATGACAACCCATGGCACAGCAATATCTGTCAAAAACATAATTTGCTTCACTTCTAAGTACAAAAACCTTTCACAATTTCTAGAAAAAAAAAAAAAAAAAAAAAGGAACAATCTCCCCCTCCTCTCTAATACAGCAAATGCTTGGTAGGATGTGATGGATTAGAGCTTCTGTCCAGCAATGTCACTTGATCTGAGGCCCTATGATGTTTGTTTTAATCAACAAACACACGTATCCCGTTTCTCAAGGGAAAGAGGATGTCATGGCTACAGGCATGTCGGACAACTTCCCTTTAGAGAGCAACAGAAAAAGTAAGCATTTGTTTTTCATTCCAAAAAGGTTACGCTTCCTAACATGGATCTTCCTGATTGGAGAGCTGGAAGAAAAATTCTGAGAAACATAGCAGTCACATCCCAAAGAAAAATGTAAAAAGCACAAGTGTAAATCTCCATGTAGCCACCACTAAAGCAATCACACCAGCTAAAATGTTTCTAACGCTGGTTTCTGGGACCCACCTCCATATGAGTGACAACAGACAAGAAGTTTTTGCAGCAAACCTCTTCCAGTATTAATAACAGCTTTAGCAGCATCTTCTTTCAATTTTGACTGGTCAAATGGTCAGAGGAGCAGAATGGGATGCCCAGCTGTGCTAATGATCCCCACCTGTGCTAACAAATTTTCAGCTCAAGTTTGGCAGAAATCTGCTTCCCTTATCTGTAAAACCCACTTTTGAAAAACTCTTTAAAATCCTGATGTTAGTGATCTTAAGCAAGTGGCAGAGTCAAACACGAGTTATTTGAAGAGTAAACCTTACATAAATAGATTGCAATTAAATAAAAAAACCTTAGAAAAGTTTCACAATATGTTTTTCCAATATAGCAATCCTTTCATTTAATAGGAAGATTTTCCATTATGAAGACATTAAAAGGAACAGAGTGTAATTAAGCAGCTTGAAATATTCTCAGAGTGAAAAATTAAACCATACATGATATTCTGTACATACTCTACACAAAGACTGTATGTACCTTTCTACAGCCACAGAAACCTCAGAAAATCTGTACTTTATATTACTTAGAAGTGTTAGCATGCAATTAATTTTGCATTTCTCCAAAGGAAGAAAGGGGTAGTGAGATGGGCTTGAATTAATTATTTTATTGTAAAGGTAGCAGAGCACAGATTAAACAGGTGGATTAATTTTCAAAGGGTCAAGATGGAATTCTGATTATGTTAGAGATGAAAAATAAACTGGTTGTCTCTTCAGTTGAAAACTAACAGTACCACAAATATGTGTCCATCCTTTACAGCACTTTGGCACAAAGGTGTCAGCATTAAAGAGTTCAAGATATGTTCATACAGGTCCCCAAATCAAGTGCTGTTCATAAACCTATCTGAAAAAAATCTTCTGATTTTCCACATCGCATCCATTTTTATTTTGTTTCTGCTAATGGTCATCTCACTTATAAAAAAAAGTAGTACTAATTTTTAAGTTAAGAGATTTGATGTAGGTAGTAGTTGTTAAACTCATTCCACAATGACAGTAATAGCTATCATTTTAGATTCAGAGAATGTTTTCTTTTTTTGTGCTAAACTTAATTTTCCAATGAATCAAAAATACACACAACTATTGAAACTACTGAAATAGCCCAGTTGCTCTGTGGAGAAAATTCTACATAAGGGAAAACCTATAAAGATACATTCCAAACCACGGGAAGCCACACATGTTAAAGGTTGAGAACTTGCAAATTCTTCAGAACAAACATTTTTCATGAATAGAACTTCTGTTGGATAAGCAACATAGCAGGATGCCATCAGACTTCAAAGATCAGCGGAAAGAATCATATTATGACATTCCCAGAAATCTCAGCCACTTTTTCCACCAACCTTTACAAGGTATTGTCAACAACACCTATGTTTCATAGGCAAGACATTTCAGGTTTTTTCCCGTTCCAGTTGAAGCTGCTGTAATCTAGATCAGAACAGCAAGTCTCAAGAGCCTCATCACAATTTTTGGGACCCTTCTGATAAATTCTGCCACACCGCCAGGGGAAAAAACCCCAACTACCAAGATAAACTCAGAATTTTTATGCATGTGTAACAGTTTGGTCTGGAGGAAATTAAAATTTATACATTCCTGACACTAGATGCTATCTAGTATTCTCAGTTTTCTACTGATGCAGAAAAGTTTGCAAAAATTCTCTCATCTCAGACTAAAAGTATCTGCTACAGCAGCATACCGTGAGCCATTCAAAAAGCAAGATGCCCAAAGATCTCTGCATTTTTGTGCATGCAGGAGTTTCATCATGCTCTACGTAATGTGCCCATATTTAATTGATATCTAATTAACAAAAATTCAATTTGACTAAAACATGGTTTTGATGACAAGCATCTAGCCAGAGTCTGAGGAAGAAAACAGCCTTTCTTTTTCCCCAGCCATGGCCTTAAAACTACAGGTTCACCTCTCCTGCTCTCCCTAACCATTTCCCCATCTTTAGGCCTTCATCAGGTAAGGCTCAGAAACTCCTGAAAAGGAAAAACAAAAAAGATTGGGCAATAAAAAGCTGATGAAAATTCTTGCAACAGCTTTCAGGAGTTCTTCATCTCCATTATGTTATGGCTGCTGTCTGCTTAGCCAAGAACCCATTTATTCCAGGTTTGCCCGACAGATTTTGGCCAAACATACGAGCAATGTTATACTGCCAAACAATTTATATAAACACTCATTGATATTAACATCTTCCAGATGAGAAACCTACCCTACTTGCATTCCCAGTGTCAAAATCCATCTAGCATGCCTGAAGTCTAGCAAATCTTAGAAAACATTTTCCATGGGAGAACCTTTTCAAAAGGCGCAGCTGAAACACAGAGATGAAATGCCGCAGTCCCCAGCACAGACTTCAGCTTGACTGGAACTGCTCATCAGGCTGACAGGAGCATGGAAACCCTCTGCCCAAGGAAACCAACACTGTTATGGAGCTCCAAGGAGACATCATTCTCATCCTACCAAACGTGTTGCAGTTCTGATTATTACGAAGTGGCGTGCATAGGAACATGGTTCTCAGTGCTAAGAACGCCGGCGTTTATTTCAGAAAAATCGGAGTCTAGTTTTCAGTGAGTATGCTTGTAAAATAAGGTTTATAAAGTAATGACAAGCTTGCTTTCTACAGTTTCTATAGCACAGTTCACAATTCGCTGCCCAGCATTTCATCAAGTGAAAGAAAAACACATGGCTGTAAAAGTCAAAGATTCCCTTAAATGAAATCAGGAGTAGGAGGCTGGAGAAAGGGTACTACTGCAGGGACTGGGTGGAGAGAGGTATCTGGTTCCTCTTGGAGGTGTTCTCAATTTGCCAGTTGCCACACAGAGCTAACTGAGAACGGAATCCACAAGCTATGCAGAAATATAATTAGAAGTGTCCAATTCTTCAGTCAAAATATTGATCTGTTTCAGTGATGCGTGCAAAGTTTCATCAAATCCTTTTCCGTACTGCTTTTCATCTCTACTTTTGACCACAGAAAGAAAGGTCAGCCCAGAGGATTCAATTAAAACAGGCAATGATTTTTCCTGTTGTAGACATGAGAGGTAATAGAGGTAAATCTACTGCATGTGACTTAAGAGCTTGTGAATCAATGTCGAGCCCATTTAGTTTGGCAGGAAGCACAAGCCTTGCACCGGCGGAGAGGCTGTAGACAGGTTATAGCTTGCAAGAGCACTGAAGACTCATCTGCACACCTCAATAGCCAAAGGGAGGGAAAATGAACAGGGCAGCTTGTGACGTGTTCCCCGTTTCCTATGTTCCACATTACACATCTTGTCACCAATTCAAGACACTGGTCAGAAAACTGCAGGCTCCCCGAGCCATCTTTAATTGGCTCCCTGCAGAGATCATGCCCTGTATGTAACCAACAGGACGAGTGCTAAACTCTGCTATTTAAAATCAGCATTGCTATACAGAGAACAAGCCATCCTTGGCCAAAAGCCTGGCCTACCTTATGAACAGCACTGCTTTGGAAGCTCTCAGCATCTGCTAATGAGCAGATGGGGTGATTCTAGAGCAAGACTTCTGGTAGCACAGGATATACCCTTGGCAACTGGCGTAGAGCAACTCCTTGTCCAGCTATGCTGAGAAATTTAAAACCTCCAATGTGCTTCCAGGTAGCACTATATAGAGGGACAGTAAAAGTCTGTCTTTCCGTAGGCTCTAAGACAAGCCTTTAGATATTTCAGGGCATAGGCCTCTGTGATGGGGCTTTATTTATGCTGAATCAGTGTGAATCTTAGCAACAGGGATAACACGTTGATGATTATCCTGCTGCAGACATTTACTTGGTTGAAGTTCCAGTCTTCTGGGCATGCAGTCAAATTTGTATCCATCAGAAACAAGGCATGGCCAAAAGCCATGTCTAGTTTAACAGTGATCTTACCCACGATTATTTATGCCAACAAATTTGACAACTTGATTTTTTTTTTAAGATTTCTTAACATTTTAGCGAACCTATGCATTGTGTGATTCTGAGTTTCCCAGTTAAGTTTTAATTTTGTTCAGTGCCCATTCAGAACAGGGACTTGCAGATCCATCACTGGAACACTGTGGTGGACTGCTTGGACAGTTTTCTATTTCCAACTTTTTGCAGGGAGGGACTGTCCTGAAACTGTCCCTCCATGTCAGGAACTATCCCGAAAGAAAGGAATTTAACTTCCATGGAAAGAAGCTTAGGCGCCCTAATACCAAGGGGTAAAATAATACACAACAGCCAAACAGATCATCTCAAACACAGGCATCTTCAGCAGCTGCATTCTACTGCAACAGTCAGACAATGCAAGCAGTACCTTATAACATCAGGATTTCACAGTATATAAGAAACTTTACAAAAGTGTATGAAAGTATTGCCTCTATCTGGAGACTACTGCATTGTGGCTAGAGCAATGACTTGCACTCTAAATGTAAATGTTTGTGATTTCTACAATATCCTATTTCCTCTGTTATGTGCTAAAAGCAGTTGCAAAACACATTATCAAGAGCTCATTACTACTGAGTTCCCGGAAAAAGTAATGTAATGAATCCCCAAAGATATAGCCTCTATTACATATAATGGATGCACTTAAGTCATGCTTGAAAAAGACCAGCAAGCTCAAATAACAGCCTGATGGCTAGGTAACATTTCTCCTGCAGAACTTATCAATCTGACCTCAGAGGAAGAAAGTTTTACAATTTTGGAGTCAAAAGAAAGTGCTCTTTAAAATCTATATAGCTACAATCAGGCAGAGGTTTGTCAGGGATAAGAAAACCTGTTGCAAAGGTCTACTTTGACACACAAATACCAACACCATGTAAGTCCAATGCTGCAATTTATTAAGATGCTTATCTCTCTCATACCCACTATATCCAATGTATACAGAATAAATCACCTGAAGCAGGCCAGGTGCTCATAACTGTTGACCTTGCAGCAGATAGATTCAAAATTATTATCACCACCTTCAACTGATTCATACTGATCCTGTTTAACGGCAACGGTGAGCTCTTGAAGATAACATTATATTACACTGATGTCAATAAGATATCAAACGTGCTTTTCCTATGCCTTCTGACATAAATGATAATGCTTTCATTCTACATAAAGTGCAAAAAAAGGAAATTTCAGATAACACAGATATTCTTGGTTGCAAGTACAAGTCAGCACTTCAGAAAATCAGGCCAAAGGACAGCGCATATTAGTTTATTGCATATTTGCACAGTGTAAGCCAAGCTACAAGCACATGACAAGTGCAGGGAAAGAAGAAAAGTTGGTTGTTGTTTTGTCAAAGAAAATGGTCAATAGCAGAAAAGTAGCACAAAGGAAATACCTTAAGATCTCGCCTTTCCAGATGTAAAAGCTCAGAGCCTCGGATGTCATGGCTGATGAAGATTTCTTTGTACTCTCCCAAACTGAGCAGATCCAGCCAAGCAGCAACTTCATCTGTGCCCCATTTTTGAACTACCAAAGTTAAGAGCAAAACCCCCTTAATTTCTACATGCTCAAATGCATCACAAGCAAAGGTTAGGCCAAAGAGAGTGGAAAACAGAGTAGAATTGCCGTGCTAGCAAAGGGAAAGGTTAGAGGTGTGATTTCCACAAAAACTGACAATTTCCTTTTTACATGCAGGTTACAGGTTAGCAGTTAACATGAGAAAGTATCTAAACAAAGTTGGGGTTCTTTGCTTTGCAGCCATGCTTTTAGCTTTACTCCAGTTTCTTCAGTAAAGCCTTTAAAACCTCAAGTCCCAACTAATTCACATTAAACCATCTTAGGATCAGTGACGCAAAGTCTAATGTTGATCTGCTTTATACCATTAATTTATTAGTAGTCAACCAGGGAGAGGAGAAGCCTTCAAAAACTAATTAATGTGTAAAATTAAAATATCAACCATACCTCAAATATAGCAATGGCAGCAAGCAAGTCCAGTTTTAATTAACAGATTCTAGTATTCTTAATTAATGCAACAAGTATTCTTTAAGCTACTGTGTTACATAGGCCACTAAGAAGCTCTCTGCAAAACATTGTTCTCTAAGGTTAGTTGCCCACATTAGTCCTAGTAAGACAACATATATTAAAAAAAAAAAAAAGTTATGCTACTTATTGCTATAATTTTGCAACTTCATTCAATGCTGATCAGTTTTACAATGAAGTGAAATCTGAAAACTAATCTGAAATCTAAAGTCTGATCAAAAACTGCAAGTTTTTGCAGATCATGACCAACTGTGCAGTAAAAAGATAAAGATGTAGAAACATTTTTAGGACCATCTGATCACCGATTAACTCCTGGACATAATATTAAGTAAGTTCATGGATAAGAGTGGGAAGAGAGGAGAGTGGAGTTTGTTCAACTTCTAATTAGAAAGTCAATACTGACTATCATGACTTTTTCTTTGATTTGTCTCACTTGCTGAACTTAAAATCCATCTGAAATTTAAGAATAACTGGTTAATTAAACCAGTGTGATAAAAACTATTGTGTACCTTCTGAAACTAACCTGAAAAACCTGACCTGGAGCTTCACAGGGAAACAACGTGTTTACCTATGGCTTGTATTGCTATGAGTTAATCAAATGTAACCACCAGCAAAGACACAGGTCCCATTATAAAACTGTCTAAATATTTTCACAGTAGGTCTTTGGTTCACCTGGATGTGTTGGGGTCCTACTGAATGCTTTCTAAATCCACTGGAAGAAATCTTCATCCTAATGAGGATGCCAGTTAGCTCAGTTGCTTTTCACTTTGAATTTACTCTTAGGTAAAGTGCATCATGTCACTTCTTACCACAAAAAAACCCATAAAATCACATTTTCCCCAAATGCTACTATTTTTCTTGTAATTTCAAAACACATACCAGGCTGAGGGCTGGTCTTATGCTTCTGAACTTTTTCTTTCTTAAACTTTGGCACTATGCGAAACACTGTACTTCTGTTGTTTCTTTTAGCATAATCCAGAGGGGGATCCTGCATGAAAGAAGAGACATAGTTACCTTTAATTAACAGAAAACAACAGTTAAATTACATGCTTGAGATGGCAATTCATAAAAAACTAAGACCAAATTTGAATTCCATGAAGAATAATGTCAGAGTTTAACTCTATACCGGTTTCATTTATGAAATAACCATTCAAAACCTTTACATTTACAAAAAGGACACAAACAAAGCCCTAAGGTCAGAAGCTTCTTCACGACAGACAGAAATGACCCATCATCACTACTGAAATTGCCTCTCCAGATCATGAGGGATACTAACTTACTCCTCCCTTCTGAAGGAAAATTCAGTTCAATTAGAAAGAGGAAGTACTAGTGAAACTCACCTCATCATCATTTGGTTGAAAAACATAATAAAGCCAAGGGATCTCAGCAAGTTTTCTCAACTCTATTTCCACACTGTGCAAAGCATCAGACAGCAGTTCTTCATGGGGAGCTTCTAACTGCTGTTTATAAACACGCCAGAAAAATAGTATTTTTAGTTTTATTAAGATATAACATTTAAATCTAGATATGTTGTTACCACACACAAACAGATAAGTACTTCATGGTAAGCGTGAACAAACGGTAAAAACAAATAATCTTCCAAAATTAGATTTTCCTTCAGAGATGCATCAGACCACCCTGACACTAAATTTCATATGGTCCCAACCACAAAAGGATGACTGACACAGCTGAGACTTTTGGTGCAGACCAGCTGGACCTAGGTGCCGATCACTGTTTTAATTCACTGCACTCCTGAGTCTTCACAGAGCAAAAGTTTTCTGATAACACCAATGCTAGAACACGCTAGAAATAGGAACTACCAGCACAAGCTAAAAGCTGACCAAAAGAGCAAAAGCCTGTGAAGACTTTGTATGAAAAGGAGTGTAAAACAATGGAATAGAAGGCAGTAAGACCAAGTTATTATTTGCAAATGTCTTCATATGACAGATCACTCTCTCCTGGTCAAGTAAGAGGAAATGGATCTTAACAAAGATGTTTAATTCCGAAAGGTTTTCCAGTGGGGATGCAATACCTGCACTACCACTGCTAAATAAGTGAGACGTGGAGCAATAACCACTGCTTCTGGCTGAGGGTGGGAAGAACAGGGACCAGGCATGGAAGAGGGACATGATTGCAGCCCCAGATGGGAGGCAAAAAGCCAAAGACATCAGTGAAGACCAAAGGGGAAGAGAAAGTGGTAGCAGTGTAGAAAGCTTGGGACTTGCGGACCTATGGGAACTTGGCTCTATCAACACTCTGAGAACCCCACGGAGGTTCCAGTTTTCCTTCAAACCCTGGTAACTGAAAACTATTCTGCAGGTGTTGTGTGAGTTGAACCAGTGAGGAAGAGGTCAGGCAGGCAGCTGCTACCTGGCAAAGCTGTTTTGGGCTTATCTGGGTTTGTTGAAACACCATTTTGAGGTAAAGAGCTGAATCCTGGAATGAGTTGCTTGGAATCACTAATAAAGCAATCAGAACATCTATTTCTCTCTTTGAAGTAAAAGTAGTCTCAAAGCGGTGCAGAATATCCTTTTGAAAAGATCTAATTAAGTTATCTCCTAGTGAATGCATTTTAAAAATTGAGTTGTAAGAGAATCTTTGATCTCTAGTGCTGGAAAAAGATTTTCACATAATTTATCACCAAACCCCAACAACAAGCTCCCATTAATTTACCCTACCTAACAAAAACTTCTTTCCTTTGCTTCAATAGTTCACGTATGTTACCACCTTTCAAAGGAGAGACTATCTTTAGTAAGATATTGCTGTTTAGTGTATTGCTCCCTCTTGCTATCATGTTATTTTCACTTCTAAAGCTCACAGAATTCAGTGCCCATAAGCAGACTCTGGTCTTTCTTTTGCCTTCCTTTTTTTTTTTTTTTTTTTTTTTTCCTTCAATTTGAACAGTTTAGTTAATTTGGAGTACAGTGGAAGACCCACTTGTCTTTGAAAAAGTTACAACTTTTCTTGTGTTTTCATTTTTTAGACATTATTTAAGATATCTATTTTATATAAACGAATGAAACAGATAATTCTGTCTTTGTCAACAAGCACTGATCTAATTGCTTGATTGTCAAAGGAAAATATTTTGCTTAGGGACAAAAAAACCTCATCTGATGCTGAGACAGTGTATGCATTGGCAATATTGCTCCTGAAATAAACCCAAAACAATAGTGCAATTCTGGTAAAGGAAGAGTCAGCAATTTAGGCTAAATTGTCCTCCTACAATATCTTGGAAAAGCTTATTTCCAAGATGGAAATTAACACTATGAATGAAACAGTGAAAATAAAGTATTTTTTCAATTCCTTCCAGACAAAGTTTTTAATATGAAAGTATTTTATTTCAGTGAGCTTAGAACATTTCATTCAGTTGGAGTGAAACATTCTGTCATACTTCTCCCTTAATATACTGGAAAATCGTGCCATAACTATCTGGGAGAGTCCACAAATCAGTTTGTCTCATCTTACCATTTCACTAAAAATGGTATTTATAGCTAATTAATCATTTGATGTCATCTAGCTAATACTGTTGTATGAACTTTGTTAATTATATCTTACAGGAGGTGGCAGGAATCACAGTCTCCTTGTATATGTATTTACATTTCTTTTGCCTCCTTCACGAGCCATAACAGACTCAAGAGCTTGTAAGTGACAAGCAAAGAAAAAGCTTACCAAATAGTATATGCAACAAAGGCATCAATTTACTGCTATCAGGAGCTTTGATCACAGAAAAGAGGGGTAAGGGAGAATTGAAGAGGCAAAAAAAAAAAAAAAAAAAAGAATAAGATATTAAAGAAAGAATGTTCATCTTTGTCAAAGCAGAGAGATAATTTGGTGAACAGTGTATGATGGCAGTGGCTGATGTTTTGAGCAACATGTTACATTTCATTTGTCTCTCTCTCAGTAGAGTGAGGGACCAACATACACACAGCTTTAACATTTATAAAATGCATGGCAATGATGTTAACCAGGCTGCCTTCTTATTGTGACTGTGAAATTCTCTTCTAAACAAGCACGATGTCAAATGAGTGTAATGGACATCTCTAGATTATCTCAGTGTCTTCCAAATGGCCTTTTTCTTAAACATCGTGTTTGATGGAGACTCATGAAGACATTTCCACAGACCATAATGAGAAGCAGAAGTACAACATGTGAAAGTCAGAAATGGACAAACGAATCAAATTAAACTTTGAAGCCTGAAGAAGGGACCAGTTCAACAACACAATGAGATCACAATTGGCTACAGAAAAGGTAACATTTCAATGGGAAGCTTTCCGTAATAAAATTATTTCCAGACTGCCTTGATAAATTACCCTAGTCCTAGTATGGAAACACCCACTTAAACCTTTTTTTCTAATTCCTCTTCCTAAACTATATTAAAATTTGTTTAAATTTCTCTATTTTGATTCCCCATTCAATGTGAAATATGGGTGATTAGTAATAGCAATTTGAAAAAAAGGCTGATATTTTTCCCTTTTCTTGGACAAAAACATCTAATGAGTAACTTTTTCTTCTAAACACTAATAAAATAGATCGTACAAACCTAATCTTTGACTATTTCTAGAACTTAGACGATTATTAGCCTTTAGACTATATTAACTTTTGGTTACTGTAGAATAGACTTGTAGTATTTATCGCTTGTGAACCTGCACCAGTAACTTTCATACCCTAACTCAGCTAAATTAAAACATTCCTATTGATATCAATTTTTAATCATAGATAAACAGTAAGTTAGTAATAAATCCGGTTTTGAATTCAAAGAAAATGTAGCTGTTCCTACTGAGTATCTTCTTACTGTAAAACTGGACCAGCATAGAAAATCTCACATCTTTCATCTCTTCACAATGTCACATACAAAAATTTTCTCATTATACATTCAGGTACAACAATTCTTGAGCAGTCTTCATCATTTAAGGCACAGAAACACTAGCCAAAGAAGAAGATGCAAAGTCTGCAATTACCATCAAAGTTCTACTGAACTTAACAGTTAAAAGTTATAAAATAATTCCTGCCAGGTATTAGAACAAGTGTGAGATCTACCTGCCGAGATTAGATCTGTAGAAGTTTAATGTATGAATCTGAACAGCTCTTACCCCAGGTTCTCTTTAAACTCTGAAGATGGTCACATAATAGAACTCCAGAAATTCTCATAAATACTACATCTCCAGAAGATGATTTTTCTTTTTCTAAGATAGGCCTCCAAGACAGTTGAATGTGAATCAACCTCAACAGGGCTACTTAATTCCCTCTACTCCACTGACTATTAAAAAGAAGAGCCCAGGCAATGACCTTTTAGATATCTGAAGTGAGGTAAGATGAATGCCACCGTAGGACAAGAATTCATAACTCATTCTGATCCAAACCATAAATGCAGTGTAATATCCTCCAATCAGCTTTACAGAGCTTCTTGTAGTATGTCATAAATCCTGGCACCGATTTGAAAAATTGGCAAAGAACAAATCACAAAATCTGAATGAGGGAATAAAACCACGTATTTTGTGATCTTACCAAAGGAACTCTTCCTACTAGCAGAGATTCAGTTTCATTATGTAGGGCTTTCACATTGACAGCTATCTCCATGGCAGTGTTTCTGGTAAGGCTCTAGAGAATAAGAAGCATAAAAATTATTTGAAGTGATGGAAGTCAGACTGAAAATAAGTACTTTGGGCTTACAGCACAGATCTTATGCATCCTCTCCTAGGAGAAATACATCAGTTTAGCTCTACACTGACAACTTCTTCAGCACTGAGAATAGAAAACAAAAATGTAATAGCTATTTACTGTCTTTTCCCCAACTTCATTTAATATGACCTTATGCAGTCCTGAAGATCATCAAGTGACCGGCCACCTGCGAGATGAATCCATGATTTTTATGGATGACAGAGGCCAGCAGGAAACAAGGACTGTCGATCTGAATTGTTCACCTTATCCTTAGCAGAAGTAAGCTGCTAGCCATATTGTAAAAAGTAAAGGTTAACTAATATATTTACCATATGTAAATTTAGGTTAGATATAGACAGCCTCTATCCAATTAATCTTTCTTGGGTCCAATCCCTGAAAACACCCAGATTGTCTAGTGTGAAGAGAAAGCCCAGGAAACTCATTTCTCCTCACCCCCTCTGCATTCTTTGCATGGCACCTGGATAACAATTAAGCATGAAAATTTCTGTGAATGCATCCACAATAATTGACCTTTATGTAGTAACAAGCATTTGTTCAGCCTTTGCCATGCCTCCACTCTGTCTGGGGACATGCCTACACAGTTGTCTGCACGCAGATGTGAGCTTACTTTGCCTGTTGTTTTTGCTGTTTGCTGACCCGAGTTTGGATTATTCATGCTCAGAGCTACATTAGTACACCACCTCACTTGATTTAATAAGCACTGCTGCATCACTTCAGGATGAGCACCCCTGGCTGTGGACCACTGTTGCAGATGGAGCAAATTCTCGACTGCTTCCAAAAGGCAACAGACATACACTTACCCTGCCTCTAATCCAAGCTCCCCAGCTCCCTTTCCACTGCTCACTCCCTGCCTGCAACAACATCCATAAGGGCTGCATTTTAAGTGTTATTAATGTCCCTTTCTAACGTTCCAATATTCACAAAAGAGAGTATCAGCTGGGGAGGACACTGATGAATGCAGAAACTGCATTTTCTGCCTTCTCAGATACCATTTTGATCTAACACCAGGAGAAGACTCTGCTCTTTAATACTCATCTGTAAAAAGGCAGTTCTCCTAACTCCCATTCTTGGTATTAATAAATTTCAGAATCACTGACCATTATCTTTTCCAAATTCATCAACTATGGGGTGTTTCCCTATGCATGGGAAGGGCTGAGACTCCCTGCTGCTCTACAGAGCAGCACCTTTATAATAAGCAGTAACCTTCCCTTTTCTTTCACCTTACAAAAAAGGGGCAAAAAAAGGGAGAAGTTACAGCATCCACTCATCTGTTAAGCAATTTCATTTAAATTTGAGCATGTCTATGTATATTTAGAAGTCTTTTTATCAAAAACTTCAAGAATTATCATCCAATTTGTTTCAATATAGAGACAGGGAGTACAATACAGCTTCCAAGTCACAAGCTTATGCACACAGATATTATAGCTTATTTACTTATACACAAATCTCTGTTCTTCCTTTACCTCAGGAAACCTTGGGTTGGCTTTATTTAATGCATGTGAACATGCATTAACAGCATGAGCAAGCTCCTGCTCCAAGAGGCCATGTATTTTTGCTGCTTCACAGATCCTACAAAAATATTAAGAAAAGAGAAAAATATTTCCTACTTCCTTTAAATAATAATTCTTAAGAGAACACGACTTTATCAGATGAGAAAACATATAAAGCTGTGCTTCACAAAACACTTTTTAAAAAATATAGTCCTTTATAACAAAAGTTGAAATACAAGTATCTCTTCAAGCATTACAGCACCTCATAAAAATGATACCCATAACACAGATTATTTATTCTGCTATGGAATACTGAGACATGTTTATTTGTCTTAGATCACAAATGCTACACAAAAATTGTACCAAAGTATTTTGGCAATATTAATTCAAATAAACTGTAGAGGAAAAACCTAGCACATTAGGATAACTTAAATTTCTTTTAAAAACTATTAACCTATTTCACAAGGCATATCCTTCAGATGCAACATTAAAACTGGCTGCAGTAATTTGAGATTCTGGGAGGTCCAGCTGTAATTGCAACCTCAGGACAGTAAAATTTTAAGCTGTCTTGGTTAAAATTCACTTTGGGTAATTATAACCTAAATTATTATTCTATGTCTACTTACGTCACCAGTACAGTACAAAAAGAGTATGTAGCTTTTCAATTTCTTTTTTATATTATCAGTGCAACTCAACACATACTCCAAAATTGATTATGATGCTTAATATAATTTATCTGAATGATAACATCTGAATGAACTGAATAGCAGCTTTATAAAATGTTCTGATTAAAAAAAATAAAATGCTTTTCTTAAAAAAAACCTAGATTTTTTTTTTTTTGGTGAAAATTGAAGTGTCTTCTTTATTAAAATACTTGCATCTCAGGAAGAAAGTAGTTCTTGAAAATAAGCAAGGCTGTGGGATCAGTTTTATACCATCAGCTGACTATCATCTCAACCCATACAAATTACCGAAGTGTCCAAGGGCTCTGAGATGAGGATCTTGAGCGTTAGGAGTAAAATAGGAAGCTGCAGTATTGAATGCAAAAGGGTATGAAGATTTTGTCTGGCAATTTGGGCTCCTTGAATGCTGTTGTGTTTACTGTTTATTTGTACAATATTTTAAGAAAAATTTCAGGTTTACTAAAAAGTGCTCATCTTTTTGAAATCGCGAGTAACGAGACTTTAAGGAGAAATAAGACCGGGAGAAGTTAAGGTCAGGTGGGTACATCCACTCGGTTGACTTCTAAAGTTGACTTCTAAGGGTTTTTTTTCAAAAAGTATACATTTACTTTTGCATAAAATAAGAAGTTTCAATCAAAAGCCTCTCTGCAAAGAAGCTTTCCAGTTTTCCATTTCCACTGCTCCTTCAGAAAGTTGGTTTTCACAAGAAAAAAAATACATAAGCACACAAAAATAAAATTACAGAAATATGTAAGAAAAGCATACATAAACAAGTTGAGCCTTAAAAAGAAAATAAAATTTAAAAACTAAAATAAAGTAACTGATAGAGTGTCAACTAAACATTAACAGAAAACAGGGAAATGATATACTTCTAAGTCTATGTCTGCATTTGCACGAATAATTCAGTCTTGGTGTCTAGGTTGCCAATCCAAACTTATTAACTTCACTGTACCTGGTAATAAGTTCTTCTGCAGCTTGCGAGCACAGATGGATCTGTGCAACTTCTTCTTCTGTAGCCAACTCCACAGCCTGCTGAGGGTACAAGGGAGATCGAATGACAGGTTTACAGGAATCATACTTCTGTTTGTCTTCCCAAGACTTCAGGGTGTTTTCAAAGGCCTAATCAAAATAAATTATACTTTCAGTTCACAGCACTTGTAGTATCCTTACTTACTAAAAATTTTAATTTTATATCTTATATAATTCTTAATTTATAAAAAATATTTGTTAATTTTAGCTATAAACAACTTTTAATTTTTATTTTCGTTTTATATAAATAATACAAGCTGCATAAATAATAAAATTACATTTATTTTTGCTAAACTTAGTATAGAGAATAAGTCACTTCTGAAAGCTCTCTATCTCCTCCCTGTTACCCTCAAAATTGTGTTCCAAAACAGTAAGAACACAAAGGTGATAATACAAGCACATTTTGTGTGGGTAGCAAGACCCAAAGCTGAAACTAGTACAGGATTCAAACCTAAAAAATGGTGGGAAAAAGTAACAAATTTACTAAAATAGACTTCAAATGCCATTAACTCCACCCTAAATTCAACATCCAGTTAGTGGATGGAGAACTAAGGGGCAATTATGCTTTTCACATGGTAATCCTAGACAAGCATGAACTCTCCAGTGGCTTTGGGACTAGGTTGTGCTTGTGCCTGTTCTGTGAGAGGGAAGATTAGTAGTACAAAGAGAGACAGGAGAGAAATCTGCAGGAAGTTATTCTGAAAAATGGATGTTACACAACTTTGTTATTTATACAACTAAAGAAGAAAGAAAAAGAAAAGAAGGAAAAGAAATAAAAATAAAAGAAAGGAAATGACAGAAGGAAGGGAGGGAAGGAAAGGAGGGAATAGAGAGAGAGAAAGAGAGGGAAGGAAAGAAAGAGAGAGAGAAAGAGAGAAGGAAGAGTGGGGAAGGGAAGGCAGGAAAGGCAGGAAGGCAGGCAGGAAGGAAGGCAGAAAGATAAAATTTTGACTATTCTTACTATGTATTAATAAGAATACAAGAATAGCACCAATAAAACTGATAAAAGCTAACAAAGCTTTGTCACTTATACAAAAGAACAATTCTCTATCTGGCTTATTAAATGAGGTATATAACTGTAAGTAATGATGTAAGTTATATAAATAGTTATAAAACATTTTTGTAAGCACTGTTTTGTTCATGTTATAAGTGAATCAAATTATTACAGAAATTGTTGGTAATGGGATCTCATAACACACTTTCTGCAACATACTCTGTCTCGTGTTAGCATCTGAGCTCTGTTTTTATGTACAATCTTAATAACTCCCGGGGGCTGGATCCATGCCTCTCCATCCACTTGCACTGGCACCCCTTCATCACCAAGTATGGTGATCTTTACTGACCGACACTGGAAAAGAACAAACATGTTATTTTACAGAGCAATAAATACTAATGAAACTGACGGGCCACCTGAAATATGTTGATTACTAGGAGCTGTGGCTTCCCTCCAGGACTGTCTCAAGGATGAAGCACTTTAATACTTCATTAATCACTGAAGACAATTTGTTACCCGTTAAAATTAAAACAATGTCAGCGCTTTATTTAATGTATAGGGTGGTGGTCATCAAGGGTACCACTACTTGCCAGCATCCCAAACTGCTGACAACCATGTTGTGTGCTTTCAAAGTAAGAAACAAACCTGAGCTATCCTGTGATGCTGCAGTTTGATGACTCTTGACACTGCCATCTGCATGCTGCCAAATACTGCAACAACTTCTAAGATTTTATCATCGAATGATGGAGCCCCAAATATCTGAAAGGAAAAGAAAATATTCCATTTTTGATGGTATATCTAGTGCTTAGATTGCATGTAAAATGAAACACAGATTCATTTTCAATATTTAAATGCTCTAACTTATTTAGTGTAGAATAACTACACTGTCTCCAAAAGTCATAGGAGTGAGATACCATAGACAGTAGGCAAATATTATTTTAAAACAGCAATGCTAATAGCATTTTAAATATCTGAATGATGAGTCATATCCTTATAAAGGAAAGATGGCATGTTTCAGCATGCAGACTCTTTTTCAAGGCAAGATGAAATGCCAATTCAAATCTCTGCTTGGTTAACATACTTAGTATCTAAGAGGTTCTTGAAGTTAAGAGGAGAAATGGTGTCTTTCTTCTCAGAAGTGCTTATCTTCTTATATTTTTAATTCTCTGGAAACCAACTTCTGAGTCCACGCTCAGCTCTGTTAAATACAGCTTTCATACTGAAGAGGATCTTGTTTGTGCTGTATACAATTATCCACTGTAAATATGAAAACGGCTTCTGTAGGGAGCAAACATCCTGATATCCAGCCAAGACGCTGAATTTCCATGAGCTTACACAAAGCCCAGGAAGTCTTGCGTGTGCCGTTGCCAGCTGGTGTCCTGCGGGGGAATTCACCCAAGCCACAGGACAAGTCTTAGGCTGGAGTTCATCTGCATCTGGCAGGAGGTACCATGCTAAGGTCACTTCATGTGTGACCATTTAATCTTGATATGCAACAGGGAGCAAGGAGAGAGAAAAACCAGCAGGAGAAATCACTCCAGTAAGAGTTTAATGGGTAAAGAAATCACCTGAGCAGTACTCAGACTAACTCTGCTGGCACCTTGGGCAGCGTAAGCCATATCAGAGACACCTGAGACCAGACCAGAGAAAATCCCTGACAGGAGCTCAAAAGCCAAAACTAGTTGGGTCTTATCCCCTGATAGAGGATTTCCTCGAAGCGAAGAATAAGAGGGTGCAGATTCAGGACTCTCTAATCCAAATAGTGTCTTCAGCAATGGCTCAGGGAGGGAGAAGACGGGGAACAGGGTGAAGGACTTCAGTCCCTGACGACCCCCAAGCCAGCAGGAGCCTTCCCCTCAGCGCAGTGAGCGGTGGCTTTGGCCAGGAGACTGAGGGGGGCTTCTCAGGGACGGGGCTGCACAGCACGGCTGCCACAGTCTAGTGCCACCCCCAGGCAGCACTCCCTTCAGAGCATCCCAGGAGTGCACATACAGGTCTTGAGCAGGTAAGTGTCAAAGAACAAAAGTGCGATTTTACTGGGTCTAGAGTGTTTTGAGGCAAAAGGTTTCTCCATCCGAACTTTTCCGATTTCCATGGAAATGTTTCCATTTCTCACACGGGGATGTAAATGTCTTGAAAAGCGCAAAGACAGTGATTCTGTTATTCCAAGGTAAAAAGTACGGCGAGGCCTTGATCCAGTTTTAACAAGTATACCTGATATGTACAGCGCTAGTTCTGCGTGGCTCAAGAAAAAGCAGTTGTAAAATTGCAAGTATTTTGTGCTTCCATTTTATCAAAAGTATGGACAAACCCCAACCCAGTCTGCCGTGTCTCTCCATCAGTAAAACATATCCATACTGAAAACCAACCTTTTTTTTGTTGTTGTTGTTCCCAAAAGGCAACCAAATTTATATGGATCAACATTCCAGAAACAATTCCCTCCTTTCCTGTTGCAGTTCATGTTTTCAGCCTGTCTTCTGGACACTAAAAAAGCATGTTTAAACAAGCCCCACTCAAGCTGGTTGGTGTGCAGCTGCCCTTCTTGGCTCACCGATAATGTTTCAGGAATAGTCACAGCTGTCAAGGCAACATCTTTCTTTTCTCCAGATAAGCAGCACCAGCAGCACTTCAGACCACTACCACCACCTCTGTTGATCAGTCACTCAAGAAGGCACTAAAGCAGTGAATTATGCTCCTAACTCTGTCCAGAACAAACATGTCACTTTGCTGGCACATCTGATCACCAGAAGACTAAGAATATCAGTAAAACTGCTCCAAGACACACACATTTGCTGTATACTAGTATGACAGCTAAGACAGATCTTCTCTTTCAGTGAGGCAGTCCAGGGAGAAAAATAAATTCCTGAACAGGAGCTGAGCAGATGTTAGAGATGCTTTCAACTTATGAATATTAACAAAGACTATATAAAAACTTTATCCATAGCCAAACATAAACACAACTGCCATCCTCTGACATATATCAAAAATAATAAAAGAACATTGAAACATGTTTAAATATTTTTTTGTGACTTTTATATATATGTGTATGTATATATCTACATATGTACATATATATATATATGTAAAAGCAAAGGATAATAACTCACAAGAAACCAAACACATTTTGGCAAAAAAATCCTGGATTGTCTGAATTAAAATCACAAGCTAATTAGCAACTACAGTTTTAGGTGATCCAGACCTCACACACACTAAATTAAGACATGCAAAATTAGGATATTCTGCTAGTAATTACAATTCACAATGTGTGTGAAGTGGATGGCAGCAGTAAGACTGCTCCAAGTGCTAAGACATTTAGGCATCTGTGTAGTAGAATATTTCTTTGGACATGTGAGGAAGAAGGGAAAAAATAGATATCATGAAATATTTTAGAAGCTCATTGAAAATAGTATTTAAAAGACAGATTAATACCCCCACTAAATTATCAGTCACTAAATGCATCAGCCCACATTTTATGAATCACCATCCCTTAGTCAAAAGCTGTTTGAGGAACAAGAATAAAATTCAGGTATAAACCGTGAGTGACTATCCTTGTCTACCTTGCTTATTGTTAGAATATAGCACACAGAGGAATCTATGCTTTAAGAAACCTTATTTACAGGAGTTCGTAAAACAACATAGAGAGAAACTATTTGTGTCTCTGTTTATGAAGTTAGTTTCTAAAAATATTCATAGAGCCATTTCTAAAAAAAATCATTAAGCCGTATTATGCACATTTTGCTGGAATGGACACAACCGAAGGCAACAGACAGTGAAAAATCATGGGATATATTTTCAATAAAAAAATCAACCAGTTTAAACTGAAACAGCCTCCTTGAATAAGAGTTGTTATCCAAAATATACATTACTACTATTAAAATGAAATGAAAGAGCAGTTCATGGTATTTATTGCTGGTTTTGCCCAGAAGGTTACTTCTCTTTAATGTTACTCACATCATCTTCTTTGGTTCCACCCCAGAAATTAGTCCCACCAGCATAGCTGGGAATGTTTAGCACAGCTATGCCCTGCAGACTTGGAAGGGGGATGTACTGTCCGTCACACTGTAATGGATAAAACTCATTCAGTATATAAATGTGATAAAAGCAATCAGCCATTTTTAACACATGAAGCTTCAACAGAGCTGGCAGGGGAGGACAGAGTCCTTAATAGGTTTGACACAAGACTATTCCCTCCATGCTGTGAAGCACCTCTAATACAAACCTCTTCTCTCTAATCTCAGCAGCAATTTTTGCAGAGCTGAAAAACATGTAGATACTACATGGTGTAGTATCTACAGCAGAGGTGTTCCATGACTCTTTGAAAAAAGATTTTCACATCCCTTACTGTGAAATTCCTCATGCACTTAGACCATGCTCTGTCTATCAAGGACTACAAATCTTTTTGCAATGAAGAAAGCTATCTCTCTGAGTGCACACAGTAGAATTGCCATGGACATCACAACAAGCTTCATTTACCCATTCCATAGCTAGTCTTCCATTCCATATCAGCATTCCAAAATTTGCAATCCATTAATCAAGAGGGAATAAAAAAATCAAAACAATCCAATCATATTTCTGGCATAGCCACAAAACATGTAGCTAAATCTAAGTGTTGTTAGCACTGTATACTTGTCTGCCTGTAAAAATAACTTTACTGTCCCTCTCAAAAGTGCAAAGGGAAATCTAGGACTGACTCCACTGTTGTTATCCTGGTCACGGCCAGGAGCTATTGATTTTGCAGGTAAGATGTCACTCCTGTGACTGACTGTTCAGTCCTTCTTTCTTACTGCTTTATCCTCCAAAACCCATAAGCAACTCAACACAATCATGGGATGATGTAGGTCAGTCTCCTCCTACTTACAGCCAAGAGTAAATCTACAGACATCAGTGAAATTACCCTTGACTTATAGCAGTACAACTGCCGTCAGAGGGGAGCCCAATGATCTCAAACCATTCAACTGGGAGTCAAAAGTGCAGTCCTGCAGCAGTGCCACAAGCGTGGATTTCAAGCAAGTTGGAAATAGAAGGTGTCTTCGTTTCAGCTGGAATAAAGTTAATTTTCCTCCTAGTAGCTGGTATGGTTCTGTGTTTTAGATTGAGGATGAGAATAATGTTGACAACACACTGATGTTTTAGTTGTTGCTAAGCAGTGTTTATACTAAACCAAGGAATTTCAGCTTCTCATACTGCCCTGCCAGTGGGGGCTGGGAGTGAACAAGAAGCTGGGAGGGGACACAGCAAGGACAGCTGACCCAAATGAGCCAAAGGGGTATTATTCCATACCATATGATGTTGTACCCAGTATATAAACCAGTGAGAGTTGGCTGGGGGATGCCACGGCTCGGGGACTGGCTGTGCATCAGTCAGTGGGTAGCGAGCAATTGCATTGTGCAGCACTTGTTTTGTATAATCTATTACTATTACCATCATCATCATCCTTTCCTTTTCTTTCCTATTTGACTGTCTATCTTAACCCTCAAGTTTTACTTTTTTTTTTCTTCCCAATTCTCTTCTCCATCCCACTGGGAGTGAGCGAGCAGCTTGTGATGCTTAATTGGAGGCTGGGGTTAAACCACGACCCAAGGTCATAAACGCTGGAAGCAGGTGTTACTTTGTTGATCACAAATTTGCAGGTGAAGTTGCCTTTAAAGAAGATTGCCAGATTACTGCAAGTTACTAGTCCCACAGAAGGATTTAAAATTATAGAAATGCAACAGAAAGACTCCGGAAATAACGACAAAATCTGTAGCAATTTATCAGGAGGAGAAAGCGATGTAAAATTATTTCCAGAATGTGTTTAGCGCTCTCTTTTTATGATTTAATCTCAGCAACAAGACAGAATTTAACGTTTTAATCAAAATGTGACAGCATCCAAAATATGCTGTGATATTAATAGATGCTGCACAGCCATTTGTAGAGGTCTGCCTCCAATTCATGAAATTGTTATTTTAAATTTTCCATTGCTCTGCACCTCATCACACGTTTTAGCATGAGGCTAATATTATGCAAGGCAATACTAAATATGAAATTTCTACTTGCTCATTTACTTCCAGAAGTATTCAAAAATAATTATGGAAAGGTCAGATTTGAATGCCTTATTGAATCTTATTTGAATCTTATTCAAAAGATCCTTAAATTAGAATTCTATCTGCAGCATACATAACATTATTTCCTGTCATTATATTTGCTAACTACTGCATAATTCCTTGATAATTACTCAGCCTTTAGATAACAGCAATCTGCCACTACTACCAGACAAAATCCTCCTAAACCTCAGAGGAATGAGAAAGAGTTCCAGTAACTTAAAATTATTCTCTCAACTGAAAAAGTTATCTTCATATAAATATCGTGAACTTCCATATGAAATACTTAGCATGAAGTAAAAGACAAATTATGTATGTTCTCTGTCAAAACCCAGCCTAGATATTTTTGGGGTGAAAAGAACTGTAACCATCCTGTAGTCTTTTTCTGCATTTGGTAATCACTTATATCTCCTTTAAGTTCCCAGGATCATGAAGAAAAGTTAGATTTGATGTTAGAACTTAAAAGACAAAAAATAACCATGTTTAGATAATCCACACTGCATTTGTTGTTGCTGTGATAATATCTTGTTTCTGTTGTGTGACTTTAAAACACCTATCAGAGAAATTCTCTACTGCTGTAGCTGGGCTCCTGGTGATGTACATTCAGAATCTCCCTTCTTCTGTCAGAATTTTTGACTAAGATCATCTGTGTGCTTTCCCTGTATGAGTAATCAAGATCACAGATAGTTCAAAATTAGCCTGTAGGATTAAGACTCCTTATCTCTTTCCTTCCATTTAGTGTATGTTCATTGCTGTTATTGTTCTTAAAACCTGGTCTCCTCCTTTGCTTCAGGGAACATTAAGAAACAGATCCCACATATATAATATTTTAATTAAAAAAAATCCAAACCAACCAGTAATTACAAGAAACACTATACTAGGTATTTTGGGATATTTAAAGATTGATATTGTTCTCTAAAATATCACCTGGGGAACCACCTCATACATAGCTCATTTTTACACAGTGACTTTGAGGTCAGCTTGGGTTGACACAAGAACTCTAAAAGGTTTCAAGAGGAAGCCCAAATTCTTCATTACACATCATCAAATCAAAAATAGCCATTCTGCCCATAAATAAAATTTACCTCAAGTTGAACTTTTTGTTCTAAGTTCTTGTAAGTTCTCTGTAGTAGCTCTTTTGTGCCAAGAACTCCATACCACATCATGTTTTTTGTCCGACTTCTGAAAACAGGTAAAACAAGACTCACATATTGAAATACACACATTATTATGTCTTGTATTTGTAGGATGAGAAAAAGTTAAGAAAATCAGATAAAGAGATACGAAAAAGAAAATAATGGAAACATCTTGGCTTTGTTACTGACAGTTATATTACCTGCATTTTTCAGGGTGCTCTTCTCGCTTGTTATTAAATTCTAGTGAAATTTTTGCATCTAACCCAATTCCAAAGTAGTTGTTCATGACACATTTTTCTGAATAACCCTCCCTGTTAGAAGAAAAGAGATAATCAGGTGTACATTTGTACAGTACCTGGACACACAGAGCTTTGACCAAGATTGTGGTTGGTCTCAGAACAGATATATCAACCAAGAGATGTAAAGAGATGTTTCCTCTGAATCTCCCCGAGGAAACCCAACCGCAGTTGAAGAGACAGCTTGGCTGCTAGCTCCTTTGCAAATGCAAGTTACTTCCTGCAGGGCAAAGAAGAAACTGCACCCCACCCCATCCAGCACCGTCTGCACCATACCCAAGGTAACAGTGGGATACGAGGAAAGCGCTGCTCCGGGCATGGCTCTGAGGCAGTTGCACCGCACCAGGCCGGGCTGAGCACCCAAGCTGTGTTTAGGCATGCTGGTGCTAGATGTTTGGCTGATGCTGCTGGCACAGCAGTGCTTGGTTTTAGGGGAGCCACGGCCCACAATGCAGGTATACCATCCATAAGTCTCTGCCAATGCTACACCCAGTTCTGAGAAGCAGAGACAGCTTAGGACACAAAACTTCCACCTCACTGCTCCAAGTCCTTAGGGGAACAATCTTCTTCCTCCATTGCAAAGTGCCCAGACTTGCTTCAACATCTTGCTGGCAGCTGAGCTTGTGTTCAGACCAGCGATTTGGGCAGGAAAACCCCACTCTGAAGGACTGATGTCCTCCTCCCAGAGCGAGTGAGCAAGGGTTAAGTGGGCAAACATCTACTATTATTTCTCCTGCTGCAAGACAATTCTGCACTAGTTGTAACTAAAATGGCACAATCCAATTTGTTTTCAGACCTTGAGGTCTGAAAGACAGCAAACAAGAACTTCACAACGAAAAAAAAAAATACAAAAACATTTAAAATCAAGTTTAAGAAAAGCAAACGAAAGCAAAACAGTAAATTTGGAAAAAAATATTTCTTACAGAGAATCTGGATCCGGGTCAATAAATGGCGTAGCACCAAATGGATCGATGTTTGCTAGCAACATTTTGCTAATAATTGAACTTCCTGCAATAGAAGCAGCCAGACCAGCCCTCAAACCTGATTAGAAAAGAAACAGAAAAAAATAACAAAAAACCCCACTTTGATAAATAGAGAAGCATATATTGTCATAATAAAGCCACATACTGAGAGACAAAATTCATTATATCCATATAGGGAATGATTGCATTTCTATCTCAATTTTTACCTATATTGGTTATCTTTTCAGGTCTCTGGCTCTCTTGAGCAGAAAGGCAGCTATGCTGCAGTGCAATGGCTGACTCTTAAAATGCCACCATTGAGAAAGAAAAAAAAAAAAAAAACAAAGAAAATTCAGGATTTCAGGCCAACAATCACTGGCTGGCATAGTAACCAAATGGGTGACCTAACATCCGAAAAGACTACTAGAGCTTTTTACTTAGTTTACTCTTTATTTCCAAACTCTCAGTGATTTTCCTTTGGTCCTTTCCTTTGGAAACATTCCTAAGGAATACCCTTATTTTTACAACTGGCAGAATCATAGTTTAACTTAATTTGTGGAAAGATCAAAGCATCACCATGCCTACCTTGACTAATAGCAATGTCACTCTACAGAACACTGTGTAATGCATTTAAACAAAGGAAAGTCCTTTCTAAAAACTTTCACTTAAATTGACCTGAAGAAAAGTGTAAGCTCAGTTCCGTTATGTTTTAACTATACTAATGAAGTTAATCAAAATACGTGTTTTACTAGTGACTCCTAGTATTAATTGCATTTGGATAAGAACAGATTTTTTTTTTTCTAACTGTTTTTACTGCACAGCAGATTTATGTAGTTTCAGTTATCTGCTTCCAGAAAGGTATCTACAGACACCTCTTATTCAGTAGGTTGAACTTCACATGGCTCTGTCCCTCTGCCCCTTCATAGCCTCCACTGATTAGGATGAATGACAGAAGGACTTGGGGATATTTGTGGATGAAAAACTGAACACAAGCCAGCCACGTGCACTTGCAGCTCAGAAGGCTAACCGTGTCCTGGGCTGCATCAAAAGCAGCGTGGCCACCAGGCCGAGGGAGGTGATTCTGCCCCTGTACTCTGCTCTCGTGAGACCCCACCTGGAGCACTGCATCCAGCTCTGGGGACCCCAACAGAAGACAGACATGGACCTGCTGGAATGGGTCCAGAGGAGGGCCGTGAAACCCTGCGGAGCCATGGGGTTGTTCAGCCTGGAGAAGAGAAGGCTCCAGGGAGACCTTATTGTGGAAATATAGAGAGGGCTTGTAAGAAAGACTGAGACTTTTCACCAGGGCCTGTAGTGACAGGACAAGGGGCAATGGTTTTAAACTGAAAGAGGGTAGGTTTAGATTGGACGTGAGGAAGGAATTTTTTATGAAGGTGAGGAGACACTGGAGCAGGTTGCCCAGAGAAGTTGTGGCTGCCCTTATCATTGGAAGCAGCCAGGGTCAGGTTGAACAAGTCTTTGAGAAACCTGATCTAGTGAAAGATGTCCCTGCCCATGGCAGAGGGTTGGACTGGATGATCTTTAAAGGTCCCTTCCAACCCAAACCACACTGTTGATTATCTGATTCCAAGATCCTGAATTTCATTTTTCATCCTTCAGAATCAAAAGCAACACTTCTGCTTGTGTTGTGACAATCAGGAACCTTCTACATTATTTTGCATTTCCTACTATATGATACAACAGAGATGTGTATGTCGGTTCAAACAAATTCAGGGCATGAAGTAAAAATTTTTATTTAACAGCAAGCAGGGTAACAGAAGGCAATATTAAAGAAGTGTAAGGAACAGCAAATTTCAAAATCATAATTACCTGGGCAAATAATCCTAGTGTTAAGCACTGGGAGGTTTTCCTTGCTTGCAGCCAAAGCTGGAGCAGAGAAAGAGCCTGTCTGAGAATGGACACCTCGGCTTGTACGTCGGTCTGGAGACCTTGGTGCAGTTTTAACTGTGCAGCAGTAAAAGTAAGAGCACTAATTAGACCTGTTATGGCATTACCAAATACATAGTTTTTACAGACCTGAAAATATTTCAGAAGCACTAATTTAATCTGTTAATATGCCATGACAAATGTCCTTCCCTCTCACACCACAGTTTTTCTTCTAAATACAGGGAAGAAAACTCAGAAACAGATCATGTGACAAGCACGGATTAAAATTAACAAGTGTGCATGGCATTCAGTATTAGGAGTTCCCCAATTATGCTTCAAGCTACTAGAAAATACTGCATTATATCTACTTTAAAATGCAATAGTATTTAATGCTGTATAAGCCTTCTGAAAAATGTGTTAATGAAGTAATAAAAATGTAAATTTAAATTCAATCTATATTTACTTATAAATATACCTAGATTGTATAGTATATTATTATTTATAATAATTTTAATATAGATAGCTATTCTAACCCATAGGCCATGGAAATACCCAATCAACAGCCACACTATTTGCTTCAAGCAGCTAAACTGGGCCCCCTGCCTGCATCAGGTTTCTGAAAACATCAGACAGAACTCTGACATCTTTACGTACAGCCAAACTGAAAACTGCAACGGATGGGAAAAAGCCATGTTCAGACATACTTGTCTTCTACAGTTAGAGAGATTGTGGGGAACATCTGTTTCCCATCATTTATTTTTCACAAAAAAAAATAGCCCAGCAATTCCCCAAATAATTGAAATAACTTCTTTGTTAAAATTCTCCAGAAGATGGATCAATAAAACCTTGTGACTGATAGCAAGGTTTGGTAGCTGATGTAATTGTTGGTGACAAAGGCTCAGAAGAAAGAAAATCAAGGGGAAAGGGAAGATGTTCACAAAGAGTAACTGGTAGTTCAGTGAAGCCAGTTATCCCTGGGGCTGTCTTTGGAGTTGATGAAGGAGGATAGGCTTTCCAGAGGGCTGACCTCAGGTGCTGTAATTTACTTTCCTGGCAGAACTTCTGTCATGCAGATTGAGAGAATATGCCAGTGCCCACTTTAGCCGGGGGAAGTTAATCTTTGTGAAATTCAGCCCTGTCAGACGTAGCCAGAAATTGGTGCCCCAAGAAAGAAAGTTTGGGTATTACTGAATGCTTTGCTATAGCATTTGCATGTGCATATAGAAAGCTTTTGCACACCAGATGATCATAGACAGACATTTCCTGGCTACCTCTACTCCAAATTATCTCACATGTTAAAACTACTTCAGCTAAGGATAACTTCAACCATGACCATGTGAAGAAGCTCAGAACTAAAAATGATATTATTTCAAAATGATCTGATATATTCCTCTCAAAGCCTGAAAACTAATTCAGCAAAAATAGAATGATTAGGACTAGCACCAAGAAAGCAGAAGAAAAACACCACCGGGAATGTGGTGGGAAGGAAAAAACACACCCTTTTTTGTGGCAAGGGGGAGAGATCAGTTCACATCGGTCATGATAACTCAAGTCTGAGAGTAACATGGAGGTACTGTATGAAGACATTAATTGAAAGAAAATGCAGAGTGGGAAAATCTACAGACAAGGGGAATAATAAGAACCAGGGTCTAGAAATTGTGTTAAATTCGGGACGGGATCTGGGCATTCACTTTTTTTTAAGTGATGATCATCTAGCACAGAACAGGCAATGAAATGGCAAATTCTTCACCCGCTTGTATCCCAAGAATAACATTATACACCTTTCTGGATGACTTGAGTAAGTCAAACAGAAATTATTAGATGCAGGACAGGGATAAGTGGGTGAAATTTTCTGAACTGTTTTATATGAAAGGTCTGGCCAAGGGGACTAACAGCTCCTTCTGACTTTAACATCTGTATAACAGCCTTAGCAATTATCACAAAATGCTACAGTATTGCATGATAACAATACAACACAATGATTTCTACCTGTCCACAACAAACCACTGTAACAGCGTTAAAAAATGAAAAGGAATAAAACCTGCAAGTGACATCTAAGAAGAGTTATTAAATATTTAGATGAAGGTTATTAGCATATGGAAAAATATTATCTTCATCAAATGACCAGGAAGATCCTCGAAGGGTAAAATATAATATTCAGAACAAAATTAGCATTAATTTTTCATAATGCTACTGAAAAATTCACACTATTCACACAGTCTGTTCTCTCTGTACTTGGGAACAGGGCGGTTATATTAAATAGGAAAATCAACAGAGCAGATGCTCTTTATTTGACAGATGAGACTCATGGGGATAACTGCAATAAAGATAAACTTTTGCTGTTCATGGTCTGATAAAAACAACAGAGCCCTAATGAGTAAAACTGATGTTTCATTGCAGATAATTGAATTCATGTTTCATGCTTTGTCCCTAAACACCTATATTCCACTGACAGCATTAATATGCACTCTATTTCACACATATCAGATGTATGAAGAATAACAGAACTCACCAATAAATGCAGAAATTGTATCAGCAAGAAACAAGGGGTTTATATCTATTTCTACATATGGATATACAGATCTGTATATTTTCATTTTTTTATGTATTTATGACAGTAGGATTGGGTCATCCATAGGGCCAGTATCCTCTATGAGCTACTATTGAAACTGGACAACCAACAAGCACTGATTCCTATAAACAAGGGAAAAGGAGAGGGGCCAATCTAGAGACAATCACTGGAGGAAGTCTGACATCCATTCCCGGAGAAAAGGAAATGTGATATTCTGAATCAACAGAAGCCCCACGAGGCTAATGTCATATTTCTAAAGTAGGAGCTACTGACACAGGCACCAGTTTCAGAGCAGAGCCTCATGAGGACACCACCTTTTAAAGATGCTGGTGTGGGTTAGGGTAACAGAAGGAGATGCAAATCCCAAACAAATTCGCTCATTTTGTCACATGCAGTTGCTCACCAAATGTCTAGAGGATGGGTTTTGCTGTCCACCAGCTACCACTGTTTCATCTCGAGACCTCACCTGCAGTGCATCACTGTCCACTTTTGTAATACGGCAAAAACTGAAATTTCCACCTATAGTAGGAAGCAGCTTTTCTAAAATTACTACACAGCTTGAGACTCTTGAACAGCCCTGGCACATGAACTACTAATCAACACAAAATGCAGTATTGATGTTTGTGATGGAAAATGTCCAAACATGAATTCTGGCTGGATTGGCTTGGTGCCAAAACCAAGCAAGGGAGGAGGTAAATGAGGGTCCCATACAGACAAATCATCCTTCCTTCTTCCACTGCAGCCACTCACTGGCAGATTTCATAAAGGACACATGAAGGAGAGATTTTATCCTATCATTTGAATGTGGGAATTAGTAATCTGCTATTTTAGGAGATGACTATTATCATTATTACCAATATTATTATTATTATCAACAACACCATTTAACACACAGTAACCAAACAATTAACAGCCAAAAGGAAAGCTTAGTGACAAAACGGGCTATTACTTCATGAAAATGCTACCTTCCACGCAAGTTGTTTTAAACTCAGATCATTCAATACTCTGTTTGCTTTATCGATTCAAATAATACAACTGTGTTCTTTCTGTGGCATTTTAAAACCCAGCATGGGCTACCCATGCTGTCCTCCTTTTTTTGGAGCGTACCCTGCAGTGCCCCAGTGCAAGGACAGAATGATGCTCCCTCCAACAGAAAAGTAGGAGCACTTAGACAGCTGCAGATAATAAAGTCCATCCAACCAAGGACAGAGCAGGTAGTGGGCTCTACACCTCAGAAAGCATGAGTAGCTTGGTATAGTGGCTTGCTGTGTGGCTTGCTATACAGCAGCCTATAGCTGTGACGAACTAGCTGGACCAATGACCTGTATTTGGGACAACAACGCAAGAAATTTTTCATGGGAAGGAGCTATAGGATATCAAAGACTTTGGTTTAAATTTCTGTTCTGGATTAGACAAATAAAGGAGATGACTTTAGTACTGCCACTTCTCATGAGACTTCCATGCTCCAGCTTCTATTACATTCTTTCCTGCTTTATGGTGTTCCACTTCATATAGAAGACTTCAATATTCATTCTCTTTGTTCCAATAACTGTCTCAGGGCAAGTTCCCAGCTGAGACATCAGGGTTTTGTTGTCAATACAATGACTACATATGTCTGTTTCACACAATTTGAAACCCCCTCAACAGTAATGACTGACAGAAATTCCTGTAATATGCCCTAAAATGCCTATGACTGAGACATGCTATTGCCACCAATGCCTAGGCTCTAGACCCTGCTCAGGTTTATGCAGAAAGGTGAGTGCAAACACTGGATTAAACGCAGGCACTTCTCTCCCCCACAAATACCTTCTCAGCTTTGTAAATACATTCCAAAAGACTGTTGTTCATGTCATTTCCAGCATTTTTCCCTTAACTTTTATTTATCCAAATCTACTAAAATTTGTGACTAGTTTCCAGTGAAACAGGATGCTAGTATTTTTTAATTATGGAGTCAACTATTCTTCATAATGCACCTATAAGGAAACTGTATAATTTTAAATTATTTTATTCCTAATTGACTCACTTGATGGGGACTCAAGTTCCTTTGTATCTTCCTCTTTTTCCTCTTCTTTGGATTCATCCAATTCTTTGCTATATTCTAGTGAAGACTGGTTCACTTGTTCTTCACTATGAGCATTCTGCTCATCCACAACTGCTTATTTAAAAAAATAGATGGAAAGTTTAAAGATTTTTAAAGAAAAACTGCACACATGGAAAATCAGCTTCTTTTTTCCTGTAGCTTTAAGTTTAAAAATATTAACAAAAGGTTTCTATGACCAATTCAGTGAAAAAGTCTAGCAATCCTTTGCCCATTGATAAAGATTTGCTGTCAGATATTTTCATTTTGTGGAGGATAATAGTTACAAAATAAGCACACTTTTATATATGCATTCACATGCATATATATGTATTCATATATGCAGACAGACAGTCATCAACATCCAAAGAAGCTGCATTTCTTTTCCTGCAGCCTGTAATACGCACATAATTTTATCTGTGTACAAATGCAGAAATCAACCTTTAATAATTACAGTTTATGCTAGTTTAAAAAAAAAAAAAGAAAAAACCATCGTTATTCTATCAGCAAGGTTCAAAATGCTGCCAATGTGCACCTTTTTCTGCTTGTTCAATGATCTGCCTCACAGCCTTCTTCAAGCTGTTCGCCCGGAGCATTAACTGTTCCCTTGGTTTGAAGAGTTTCTGGGTGGAAGACTTTGAGACACACTCCGCTAATTTCTCTTTACTTTCAGACAAGGATTCTTCACTTGAAAACTCCTCTGCTTCTTCTTCCACAATGGGGGGAGTGACGCCTGGGAGAATGGGAGCAGCCTGGGCTTCGGTGTGAAGAGCCTGGAGCAACAGGTCTAGCTTCTCGTTTAACTCGGAGCACTAAGACAAAGTGGAAAAGAACACACACAAACAGAAGACAGAGTGAACGTGTGAACACTTTTAGGAAACTGAGAGCAGATTATATTTAAAACTGTGTCTTAAGTGTCTATGTAATTGTTTATGTAAAATCCAAACCTAGGTTCAACATTTTGGAATATCATATTATGAGTACGTCTGTGTGGTTTTTTTGCAGATGTACCCAGTGACACCCAATCAGATTAGAGTAATTATAACCAAAAACCACTAAACTAGGATTAAAATAACACGCCATTCTAAACTCAGCCTGCCACATAGCTAAAGTACAGGTTAGATTTTACTTCTCCTGATGGCCTGCAGCACGGAGAACCACCACAGATTTGCCCATGCCCTGCATTATAAGAAATTATAGGTGCTCAGTACCCCAATTTGGAGAGATAATCCATGGGGACATGCCCACCTGTTAGACTGAGACACATGGGGTTGTTTTCACAACACAGCTGTACATTTAAGCAAGTGAGTTGTCACAGAGTAAAGAGGCTCAAGCCAGAACCAAACACTCAAACATCTCTACCCATCACTAAGCAGTTGCTCTCTCTAGGTACATTGGAAAAGAGGTGATTTTCTGTGCTTAAGGGAAAGGAAACCAACATTGTCTGTCCTTGGAACAGTAAAAAAGAAACATTCCTTACTAAAATGTGCACCAAATAGAAATGTGAAACCACAAATTGCCATTTAGCAAGTATATCTCCTGATTCTGGGTTTGTTATTTTGGTTTGTTCTTTTCATTTCAGCTCATGTAAATTTTGTTCCTCATAGCAAATCCCTCTGGGTTTTTTGTTGTTTATTTTTTTTTTTCAATGCTTTTGCAACACAATCTCTAGAATTTGCAGCTTAAACCATTATTTTTAACATTGTAGTCTCTCTTCCCTTCATTCTCTCAGCATGCTTTCTCTTAATTATCCCACTGTTTTCCTGTAGCTAAATTAATCCCTAAAAGTATAACTCCTAACTCAACACATTTCCTTTTATCTCTATGTATGTTACCATGAACTTTATCCTTCATGATGGAAAGAAGTGTAAACAGAATTTATAGAAATCTTACAGTTTAAAGATGGTTTGGAAATAGCTGTTCTATACAATAAGAAGAGAAGAACTGAAAGCCAAGCTGAGCAACCTGGAGCAATTTGAAAATTAAACACCCATGAGCTATAAATGTTAAAAAACCTGTAACTTTAAACCAGAACATAGTCATAGTCTTACTTTAATGGCCATAGCATCAGCTTCCTCTGCATTTTCCATTGGTTTTTCGTAAGTCTTCCCTATTTTGGCAACAAAGTCCTTTACAGTTTCACATAATATTCTTCAGATAAAAAAAGGAGAGGGGAGAAATCAAATGAAATAAAATAGATATGTTTTGAATATTAAATCTTTATGGCAATTTATTAATATGCATACTGCTATACATCATTCTTGTTGGAAACTGAACTCTGTAATCATACTTGCAAAGTAGACGGTACTCTTCTCCATGGCCTGCAAAATTAAAGTGATAAACTTTAAAACAAAAACTCTTTCTCCCTTTTATTTATGCCTTTGCACACACTGTATCTTACTTCTTAGAAATTAAATAAACACAATTTCATCTATTCCCTTGCTTCTACACCTTCCATACCAGAGGAGTTAGCAAACTTGTATTCACTTTGATAACTTCACACACAGGCTTCCAAATTCCCATGCAAAGATGGATCCTAGAAACCATGGAGAAAATCTGACTTTAATGGAGCACTAAGATGAAAGTATATGGCCACATGAGTCCCATTGCACAGCTCTTGCTTTTGAACCACAGCTGACACTAAGGCATATTTGTGCCAACTACAGGGGCTGCAATGAATTTTCATTGTGTAAATCAGAGAAAGACTTGGTTCTTATTACCTACACTGCATACAGACAGCAAACTTACTAATGAGGTGTGGATAATTGCTTAGTACTCTTCATTTGGTTGAAATTTATTTGACAGAAACTAAATAGATTTAACAAGATACTGAACCAATTTAGAATCTGGAGTTATAATAATACCCTGCAGTTTAACATGTGCTATGGATACGTTAAAAGTGAAATGTTATTAACTTGCTTTCAGCGGGGGGGGAAAAAAAAAAAAAAACAACACAATGTAATGACATTCAGAGGTATTTTTGAAGATTCTATGACTGGTCTTTTGCATATCATAAAATAAAAGATTTTTTTTTCACAGAGAAGGTATAAACAGAATACTTCTGTTTTCAGATGATGTCCACGATTTGCCAAGTAATTATAACTCATTTTTAAGTGTTTGGGGGAAAAAAACCCTATCGTCTGAGACCACTATTGATTGAGTTGATATAGACAGAGCTATGACAAAGCTACCTAGCCTGAAGTTCTGATTCACATTGATGACATTATTTGTCCTCTTAAAGATATGGATATGCATAAAACAAAACAGAAGAAATGGAATGTAAAGTAGATCACATATTCACACTACTAACAGTAAGTTTCATATTTAAGCTGCATGCAGGAGTGATTTAAAAACACTTTACATTATGTGATTTTTTTAAAATGTTGATGTGTTTAGTATTAAGCTATCCATTATAATTGTACCATATAAAAATTTTGCAGAAAAACTTCTACTCTAAAAGATATAAATCAAGATATATTAAGCCAAGCCAGCTGGGCCAGCCATAAGAAAATCAGGCTTAGGCAGAAGGTTATTATGGTGATGATGTTACACAGGGGATTTATCCCACACATTGTACGTAAAACCAATCAACTCACTTGGCAGATGATATGACAACTGAGTGCTGATCAGAATTGAGAATTTTTGCAAGATGAGCAGCAACTGAATCCTCATAAGCAGATATCTGAAAACAGAGAGAAAAAAGACTTCAATTTCCACACATTTCCATAGTTTAACACCAAGTAGTGAGTTAAAACAGTTCCAAAAATAGCAGGATTTCCATTTCAGATCTAATACAAGGGCAAGCAGCTGGCAATGTAGATTCTACCTGCATACTGTATTTTATGTACCAGATTTTTAATATTCAAAATAACACTGCATCTGAAAACTTGATCCACAGCTCCTTTCCTCCTGTAGAGAAAACAGTAAGTTATTTGTAGGCTAAAAATAGTCCATGAGGCCAAAAAAGAATCTAATTTCCTTTTAGATTTATAACAACCTATATCTAATATATTTTATTCTTAGAACAAGCAAAGTTTCTCTCAAACCAAGCTGCTCAACTAAGAATAAATCAAAAGTTTGCAGTTAACATCTTGAATTTTCTTTTTACTGTCAGATGGGCTCTTATTACCAAAGTACCCCTACTAATAAAGGCTGATAAAACTGGTATAATGTTATCAAAACCAATCCTTAAGGAGCAAACCACTTAGGGCTTAGTCTTGACAAGAATGTTTGGGAGAAGAAATGTGAGCACTGCCTGTCTTTTCTTGCACAGAAGAATTGTAAGTTCTGAAATACTCAGGAAAAATTTTGGAACGGATCAGAAATGCATTCTCACACACTGTATCCTGTCTCAAAATAGATATGGATCCAGACTCAATTTTAGAAGGAAATTCTAACTAAATTCCAAATCTAAAGCTAAAAATAAATGCAGTTCTTAAATTTTCTGATGGCTCCCTTTAAGAAATCCTTTGAATCTCTTAGTGTGTTTTTGCTGTTGATATGGAGCAGGCAGATATAGCACCCTTTTCTTCCTCCTAAACCCCAGCCTTAGTTGCACAATTCGGACAGTAAATCTGTTTTCATTTCAACAGGAAAAAAAAACCCTGTTGTTGTTCAAACATCAGTATAAGATTTCTAGAACCAAACCAAGTGAAATAAGTCCTGTGAAATTGGAGGAAAGAAGAAAAAAAAAAGAATCGGATTTGTACTTCTATTTACTTTTTGAACTGCGCTTTAATACATTACCTATGGTAAAGTTAGTTATTCTTTTTCTAAAATATCATAACCCGATAAATGAAGCAAAAAATGTGAGAACAGAGCTTGAACAGGGTACTCAGAGGAAAATTGCTTTGTCCGACTCAGAGTAATGACAGGTAACTATAGCCTACAGAACTAATTTTCCAAAAAAGTTTTATATGAGCAGTTCCATTTTCAGGAGTGGCTACACATAATTTCAAAGCCAGAACTAACTACAACAAAATGTATATTTTTTTCTCTACAAGATGAAGATACACTTGAAAATTTTAACCGTTTTGAAAAATTAGAGAAGATAAAGCCTGAGTCTGCATTGCTGACACTGGAAACAGAGCTGTGTGAAAAGCAACCCCATTGCTACCATGACAGGAATGCTGGCATGGAAGGATGACTCGTTAGGAAGGACAGGAAGGGGGAATGAGGAGGAGATGTCACCTTCTATGTCAGTAACCAGCTGGAGAGGATGGAGCTCCACCACGGGATGGGTGAGGAGCCAACCAAGAGCTTATGGGCAGGACTAAAAGGAGAACCAGAACAGGTGACATTATACTGGGGTTCTGCTTCAGGCCACCTGACCAGGAAGACCGAGCAGATGAGACCCTCTACAGACAGATAGGAGCAGACTCACGTTCACAAGCCCTGGTCCTCCTGGAGGATTTTAACCACCCCAGTATCTTTATTGGAGGGACAACACAGCAGGGCATAAGCAATCCAGGAGTTTTCTAGAATCCATTGATGATAACTTCCTTCTCCAAGTGACAGAGGAGCCAATGAGGAGAGCTGCAACGCTGGACCTTGATCTCACCAACAAGGAGGGGCTGGTGGGGAGTGTAAAGCTCAAGGTCAGCCTTGGCTGCAGTGATCATGAAATGGTGGAGTTCAAGAACCTTAGGGCAGCGAGAAGGGCGCACAGCAAGCTCAATACCCTGGACTTCAGGAGAGGGACAACAGGGGCAACAAGAAAAGCTTCTATAGGTATGTTGGTGATAAAAGTAAGACTAGGGAAAATGTGGACCCTATCCAAAAGGAAATGGGAGACATGATTATCCAGGATATGGAGAAGGCTGAGGTACTCAATGACCTTTTTGCCTGTCTTCACCAGCAAGTGCTCCAGCCACACCACCCAAGACCCAGAAGGCAAAAGCAGGGACTGGGAGGATGAAGAAATGCCCAGTGTAGGAGAAGGCTGAGGTTTGAGACTGTCTAAGGAACCAGAAGGTGCACAAGTCCATGGGACCTGATGAGATGTATCAGTGGGTCCTGAGTGAACTGGTGGATGAAGTGGGTAAGCCACTATCTATCATATCTGAGAAGCTGTGGCAGTCTGGTGAAGTTCCCTCTGACTGGAAAAGGGGAAACATAACCTCCATTTATAAAAAGGGAAAAAAGAAGGACCTGGGGAACTACAGACCAGTCAGTCTCACCTCCATGCCCAGCAAGACCATGGAGCAGATCCTCCTGAAAGCTATGCTAGGGCACATGGAAAATAAGGCCACTGGTGACAGCCAACATGGCTTCACTAAGGACAAACTGTGCCTGATAAATCTGGTGGCCTTCTACAACAGTGTTACACTGTTGGTGGGTAAGGGAAGAGCAACTGGCATCATCTACCTGGACCTTTTGAAAGCATTTGACACTGTCCCACACAACATCCTTGTCTTTAAATTGGAGAGACATGGATTTGGTGGATGGACCACCCAGTGGATAAGGAATTGGCTGGATGCTTGTACTCAAAAAGTTGTAGTCAAGGGCTCGATGTCCAAGTAGACACCAGGGGTCAGTATTGGGACCAATGCTGTTTAACAGCTTTGTTGGAAACGGACAGTGGATTGAGTGCACCCTCAGCAAGTCTGCTGACAACACCAAGCTGTGTGGTGTGGTTGACATGCTGGAGGGCAGGGATGCCATCCAGAGGGACCTTGACAGGATTGAGAGGTGGGCCCATGCAAACCTCATGAAGTTCAACAAGGCCAAGTGCAAGGGCCTGCACAAGAGCTGAGGCAATCCCAAGCCTGGGAGGTAAGTGGATTGAGAGCAGCTCTGCAGAGAAGGACTTGAGGGTATTGACAGATAGAAAACTGAATATGAGCCAGCATTTGCATTTGCAGCTCAGAAAGCCAACTGTGTCCTGGGCTGCATCAAAAGCAGTGTGGCCAGCAGGTTGAGGGAGGTGATTCTCCTCCACTACTCTGCTCTCATGAGACCCCACCTGGAGTGCTGGATCCAGCTCTGGGGACCCCAACATAAGAAGGACATGGACCTCTTGGATTGAGTCCAGAGGAGGGCCATGAAGATGATCAGAGGGCTGGAGCACCTCTCTTATAAGGGCAGGTTGAGAGAGTTGGAGTTGTTCAGCCTGGAGAAGAGAAGGCTCTGGGAGACCTTATAGTGGCTTTCCAGTAATTAAAGGGGGGTACAGACAAAGATCAGGAGGGACTTTTTACAAGGACATGCGGTGATAGGACATGGGGTAACGGTTTAAAACTGAAAGAGGGTAGATTTAGATTACATAGAAGGAAGAAATTCTTCACAGTGAGGGTTGTGAGGCACTGGCCCAGGGTGCCCAGAGCAGCTGTGGGTGCCCCCTCCCTGGAAGGGTTCAAGGCCAGGTTGGACGGGGCTGGGAGCACCCTGGGCTGGGGGAAGGGGGCCCTGCCCGGGGCAGGGGGGTTGGAACTCAATGATATTTAAGGGCCCTTCCAACCCAAACCATTCTACGATTCTATGAAAATCCCAGCTAGTAGAGCCCCTGCCCTGTTGTAGCTCTATATCCAGCAAGCTGTCAAAGGTTATAACCTCCTTGCCAATTATTAAATTATTCAAGAACCTGCTGATTAATTGTTGCTTCTCAAGTACGTTTGAGCTAAAGTTGATATGCATTAACTTTCTTAGGAATATATTATTTTCTCAGTTTTAGTCCGAGTTTCCATGCCAATTAATTTGATTAAGTATCTCCCTCTCTCTCAAAATTGAAATCTCATCAGATAGGACAAGCACAAATCTAGTCTGAAAATAGACTACACTTTTCTTTGAGGTCACTTACAATTTCGAGCTCTCTGAAAGAACAAAGTGGGGTGGTATCACCTGAACTAACTCAAGCTGCAAGAAACTTCTCTCTTTCTTTCAGAATGCAACCTTTGCCTTTGAAATGTTGGCATTTTTTTCAATGCTTATTCAAAACTCAAGATAGCAAACATTTTGCTTTTATGTATATATTAACAATATCTTTATTTATATGTATTTTAATAGTATATATAGTATTATACAGTAACATAACTAAATCATATAGTTATATACTAAATATATATTATGCTCTTATACATAACTATATAAATATATAATGTTATTGTATTGCATAATAATATAATACTATATTATGGTTTTATATAAAACATTATACAATATATATAAAACTAATTCATAACACATATATATTAAAATATATGTTTTTCAGGAAGAAATTTTTATGGCTGCTCTGCTTAAGACTCCTTACCTTCATTGAATTTTGGCAATATGGAACTGGAAACCCTAATTACTTGAGATATATGCCATGAACAGACGTTAGCTCAGTTAGCAGATCATAAAACATTTTTTTTTCACACAAATGTTTCAATTATAAATACTGTCATCCCAGAAGCTCAAAGTTAAGTATACGAAGCAACGACACAAAAGTAAAAGTCCACCTGGCATTCCTCTGACTCTTCTGCAGTCACTGGAAGAATAGAAGGCTTTGTTGGTAATTTCAGTTCATATGACATTATACTCCACCTGAAAGAAACACAACAGCGTCTAGTTTTCCAGATTGTTAGATTTATCCTTTCTCTAACATATCAACAAAAACAAAATTCATGGTCACACCACACAATAACTTCTTAAAAAAAAAAAAAAAAAAGCAGCTTCATATTTAATTGTAACCTAACTGCATATGGGTGAAATATTCTAGATTAATGGTAATAATTTGTTTTATTGCTCTAATAATTTGTTAGTGATTTGTTGTTGAGCTTTATTTGTGAACAAATCACGGGACAGTCAATGCAGGCCACAAAAATTTTCCAGCAAAGCATTCACAATAAAAAAGAATTTGTGCAAGCTAACTGCAAAAGTCAAAGGAAAACAGACATGTTCCTAGAGAAAAAGCTCTAAGGTAACATTAGCTTTTCATCTCAACTAGGGGAGGCAGGCGGGAGAACAAAGCACATGGTGAAGTATCTTCATTGACATGTATTTTTTTTTTTTCCCCTGGTAAAGGACAGTACTCTACAGCACAGACAGTATGAAACTGCTAATAGCAACATCCTTCAAAGCCTGCTGAAAAGAACAAGTAATCACTGCAGATGGCCTTGGGAGCACGTCTGCTGAAATTAGAGCAAAAAGTGAAACTGAGCCTTTTTTTTCAGTACAGAAAAAGGCAAACATGAATGAATCTACGAATCTTTCAGAATGCCTGGGCCAACAATTATTTCTAAGGATCAGTAACCAGCATTTCTCTACATACTTTGCTGTAAAACAATCAAATAATCTGCAGAAAAGTTTAAAATAAAAAGGAGTTTGTTTCTCTATTTCTTAAAAATCCCACAAAATAAAATCCCCTTTGATGATATTCAAGTGTTTGTAACTAGAGGAAGAACTGAAACACCCATGAGAGGAAGAAACAGAGTAAGAAATACTCCTCTCAAAAACAGTGTTACACCTTAATTGGAACGCTATGACCATCATCTTCTCTGACTTCTTTTTAAATGGGGGTTGCTCCTTTGTTTTACGGATGGAAACCACACAAAACAAGGAGTGGGACGATCCCTTGGTTTTGAATAAGAAAATGCCTCAAACAGTAATATTAATAGTGGATCAAGCCAAAGATCCAGTTAGCCTAGCATCTTGTCCACAGCTGATGCCTCAGGAAATTATATGAAGGGTGAAAGCACAAGATCAAGTTCTCCCCACATGCAAGGACAGAGAGCTCAGGTGTTTCGCAAATAAAGATGCTGTCTTTAATGGTATTTAACAGCGTGCATGGAGTCCATAAAACTGCCCCAAACAGTTTTGAATTATACAGTTTCTTATTGCTTATAACTTCTTGTAACAGGTACTTATGCAGCTTCATCAGTTATGTAATAAACTGTCACCTTTTGTTCATCTTTGAACAACATGCTTCCTAGTTTCATTCACTGCTCTCCCCTCTGACTCTTCAGTTTAAAAAGGACATTGAAGAGCTGTCCCCATTACTATCTCAGGTTCCCTCATGATTATGATCTGCACCCTAAAAACCAAAACCACTGAACATTAGGTCTCTAAGATGGATTCAGGCCACCAGAAACCCAAACAAATACAATTTGAATCTCATGGTAAATTATGCATATGCACATTTAAGTTTACCTGTCTAACATTTTCGTGCTTGCTCGTTCTAGTTTCTCCAAAATCTGAGGAAGTTGCGTATCATCATCACAGGATCCTCCCCAACCAAGCACACGAGCAAGGTCATTTCCAGTACCAAGGGGTAACACTCCTAACTGACACTGAAACACAACACAGGAGCAAGTACTATTGAAAACTAGAAAGAAAAAGTACAAACAACTACAAATGCTTGTTATTTCAAGCAACAAATGTTAATTATAGAGCTGATACCTAAAGATTGTAAATCGAATTGTGCAATCCCAATGCAACTCATCCTGTTTACCAGTGAAAATTTTAATTTAACAGTAACTATTGAGTTTGGCCCATATAGGGAACTATGACAAAGCACCAAGGAAAAGTAAGAATAGAAAATTAAGTCTAGTCAGTATAGTCAAGGAAAGTAAGTATGCACACTTGCCTGTTTGTGCAAGCTGAGCTTATCAATTTCTGACAAAACCCAACCCACGCTTCCATCACCACCACACACAAGAATCCTGAAGTTGTCAAACTTCTGAAATAACCGCAAACTGCAAAGAAAACATAGCCTGTTAGAGCCAGTTATGTCCATTAGCAAGAGAGCAGTTAAATTCATTAGCAACTGTTACAAGAAAATATGGTGCTCGGCACCTTTGTGATCCTGGCACCTTTATTGTTCTGGGGTATGTGGATACAACAATCTACTTAATAAACCTATCTACACCCCATCTATTGCTGTATATTCCACTTATACTGACATTTCTGATAAATAACATGCCAAGTTTTACTTTAAAAAATTCCCTTGATATTGTTTTCAGGATTTTATTAATATTATTAATATTTTTTTTTAAATTTCTAAGCTATGAAATTGCAACTGCTCTATGCCTCCCACTTCAGCCAGAAGCACAAGGCACCACTGGGGATTTTTCACGGGAAGAGGTTAAGACACAACAACAGCTCCACAATACGGATGGGCTTTGGCCAACCCATGACTAACTACACGCAAGGACCGTTGGAGGCAGTTATTACACCGAAGGTGATCACAAAAACATAAAACAAGTAATACAAGTATTTCATATTAGATCCTTAAAGCTGTAGCCTGCTTTCACTTCCTACGGCTCTTCCTCCTGTTCTCTGACTTTTAACAACTCAAGGATACAACACTTGGGCAGTACAGAAAAGGAGGACAAGAGAGACAGAACAAGCAGAAAGGTGAGACAGAGGAAAGGGGAATGAGATGTGAAGAAACAGCCAAGAGGTAAAAACAAGAGGGATTGAAACTTAAAAAAAAAAAAAAAAAAAAAAATTGAAAGTGTGAACTCTTAAAATAATAAAAATAAATGTTTATTGTTAATGCATGTTATTTTTCAGAATATGTATAATCTCAGAACTATTTCTAAAAAGCAACATATTAAGATCGCAAATTTTTGAAGCATTTATATTTTTGAAGCATTTATATTTTTTCTAAAGAAAATAATGTCACTTATATATGATAGGCAGATACCTATTCAGAACAAAAGATGTAGGTATTTAAAGAAAAAGATGTTGATACCAGAACAACTTCGCCTGCCCTGAGAAAAGGGAGAAATCCCTTAGAAATACACTGCCTTGAGGAATGCAACTCTGCTTTTTAGATCAACTAGAATAAAAAAATAAAAACAACACATCAGCATGACCTGATAGAATAACTGCTACGGACCTCTCTTTGGAAACTGTTTGGGAAAAATATTTAAAAGCAACCAACTTCACCTATGATTACTATGCAAGACAAAAGTGAGCCTCCTGGACCGTGCTGCTGTTAGGTACAACTATATGAAGCAAGAGAACTTGCAAAGAGGCAGACATAATTTTCAGACTGTCCTCTCTCAAAAACTGTCTCTCCAATGAAAATGAACTTCTCTGTGTCATTATAATTGTACGTGCAAAATGTTAGCCAAAAGGGATTATAAGGGTTATAATGAAAGGAATATTACAACTTAAAGAGTTAATATAACATGTCCATAACACAGTACTAATTATAAAAATCCATAGCTGTATTCCATTATATTTGTATTATCTCCACTGTTTGAACTGAATTTTTTTAATGCATTTGTTTTTGTCTACATTTTTGCTATGCAAGCATAATTCTGCATCTTTAAAAGTACAAAAATTAGTGTTTCTAGTTGCTGTAACTGATATTAATAGGCCATTTAATCACAATTCTGCACCTGAGTGGAATTAAGTTAGGCAACAGAAAAATGTGTATGAATTTAATGATTATGAATGTGCAAAGATGCTTGGGTTGTGGCCACCGCTATGCAAATTTCATCTCTATCTCTCCAACAATCAACCCTTAGTTTTTTTAGAATGCCTGATGGTTTTAATTGTGTTCTTGCTCCAAATTTTATGAGATGCTCATTTTCTTGACTATTTTCATACGTTGCCTAAACCATATTTTGAATGTGGTTTTCAGATGACAAAAGTTTTAGTGTACTCATCCATCACCCACTGCAGATTCCCCCACTGACTTTCTGTTCAGAATTCAAAAAGACACAGAGTACATTTAGGCAATAGGTTTCTTCCATAGCTATTCACAACAAAGTCACAGGAATATCTGAATTACGCAAATGAAATGAAAGAAAAGCACCCAGGCAATTGTGCATAAAGGCTCTGATTCAGGAAAGCATCTAAACATTTACAATGGTTCTGAACCTTACCAGTTAACCGAAATCAAAGCTAGCCAAACAGCCACAAAACACTTGGGCTGATAAGTTTTGGTTTTGAATTTTCAAGTGAGTTTTTCTAAAAAGAAAGTATTATCCTACAAAACCTTCACCCACCAGAATTCATTCTGAAATTCTGTCATCTCTTAGATTTTAATTAGGAAGTCACAGTAGATATTGGTGATAGAGTTACAGCAACAAGGGGAAAACACAACACTATACTTTGGACTAAATTCCCTTGTGGAAAGGATTGCTCAAGATTTCCAAGGTCATTACCCTAAGTGAGGTCCTCCATTCATTAAATCGAACACCTGAGCTGGATTTAACGACTGTTTGAATCGACGAAGAAACTTTACTCCCTGATTGTCTCCACTCTTTGAGTTAACAAAAACTAAAAGAGGACTGGCACAGGATGGCGGGCATGTGGCTTTCCAGAAACCTGTGAACATAGTTAGAAAGAATGAAATAAATAAGGCTTTCTAATATGAACAACACAAAAAGAAATCATGGGAAAGAGGAAGAAAGGGATGAAGGACAAAAGGAGTACATTTTATCATGCATAATGTAAATGTTAAACTGAATATTAGCCCTGCAAGGAAAACATAATTGCTCAAGATTTACCAGTTCATTTTTTCCTTTCTGGTATTATCAGTGCCTAGATTTAGTAAAATCCTGAAGACAATAGCTTTATTGTTTTTCCATAATGAAAAAGTTTATTAACCTTTTAGAATAATTCTCAAATCTTATCTTCATAGATTATCACATAATTAAATATATATTTCAGTTACAAATGTTTGGTTTTTAATCTAATTTTTCTTTAACCTTACTGGATTTTACTGGCTCATCCACATCTTTATGAGCTTTCTAAGAGTACTCACAGATTTTAGAAGTTACTGTACTCAGGTGCTCACAGATGAGACTTTACATGAGAACTTTTTTCTGAGGCTGAAGTTATACTATCAGAATCACTGAACAACAGACCTTCATTTGTCATCCAAAGCTTATTAAAGCCAGTGCAGGCCTTAACTAATTACAGCAGGCTTTCTATAAGGCCCTTAGGAAGTAGTACTTATAGGCACTGTTGTCACTAACATGACCAGTCCATGGAAGCAGTGGTTTCCCCGCAACACTTCAAAATCAGACATCACAGGTATAGGTTTTGATATTTGTTTCAGGCAATATTAAAATGACTATGCTTTTTTTTCAATTACCATAAACATTACTAAAGATACAAATAAAAAATTGGCATTAAAGTATGCTAATTTAATTCTACATTATCATAATGTATAATTTTAAATAAGGTTTGATTAATTTATTTAAATGTGAAGAAAAATAATTACACATATGGAACAATCTTCCTAACATGAATAATAAATAGCAGCATGACACACTGGTCTAACACACCACATAGCAAGTAAATAGAGTGGATATATACAGCATAAACAATCACTTTTACTAACTTCATAGAATAAAATTCATTAAATTGTGTATAAATTGTTGATCTACATTTGCCATCAACACAAACTATAAAATTCAAGCAGTTAGATTTCACGATACTCCTTATTAAATCCACTCCCTGCCTTTAAGTGCAGTGTCCCACTGCTCACACATCTCTATCCTGAGGCATCAAAGAGCATCTCTGAGTTTTGAACATTTGCTAAGTTTTTATCTGTGTGTTGCAGAATTCTTACACAGCTTATATTTAAAAGAAATTTAAAGAAGCTATGGAAGCAATTCCTCTCTTTAGCCTGGTAAAGTAGTTGTTGGATCTGAGACGTTCAACTAGCTTACACCTGTGTAAAGTATCAAAAATTTGAGAACTCTGAGTGATGCATGCTAGGCAGGCATCAGCCCACTTAATCTGAAGACTCTAATAATTCACTTTTAAAGTTTCCAAGGTTCATAAATAAAACGGGAGAAAATTTCTAGTGGGGGAACTTTCAGAAACGTTTTTTAAATCATGTCGGTTAAATAATCCTCTTAAAAGCTACACGGAAAATCACACTTTTCTCTAAATTTGAACACTGCATTCATCTGCTCAGCAGAAGGATTTTAACCTTGTTTAGTTACACAGATCTCACTAGGCACTGCAACTCCAGAGCTACCACTGAACACACTACAACACTACGTACCATCAGAGTCTATACTGTTTAGTGCTGTTGGCGGTATGATCGATACCTTACATTGTCCAAGCGGACATTTACGAGGATACAGATCTTTACAGGCAGTGTGAACCTACAAAAGAAACAAAAAATTATTTCCCTACAGTGGAATTTCGGGGTGAAAGTATAACTGATACAGTATTGATGTAACAAAAATGGACTAATACATAACATTTAGGTGTAGAGGGAAGAGGAGCAATACTGGGAAAAAAACCCAAACATACGAGTGTTCAACCACGAAGGCTTGTTACTCATTCCACAAAACCTAAGTTTGGAATGCTTCATCTTCAGCTGCCCCTACAGCAGATATGAATAGTCCTTTCAAGGGAATGGCTTACCTCCATCCATGAGCAAGGGAGGACCAAGCTCCCAGCAGCCAGCACACTGTGCACATGCAAAGCAACAGCTCTGTACATGCCTGGTCCACCTGGCTGTTCCAGAAGACGTACCTCCCCGAAAGCCAGCACACCTACCAAGCCACACCAACCCGCCAAAGGTGGGTCCCATAAGCTATGCGTGGTAGGGGTCTCTTCCACAGTTACTGGAAAGACAGGCATTTGCAGAGGGTGCTGCACTTCATCTAAATTTCAAATCACCTCTGAAGATGCCAATATTTCCCACTGCCTACACACAGAGCCTTGGACATCTGTATGTCAAAACCTTCAACAATAAAAAAACTGCTGACCTTCCACTTCTATATTCTAGCATGTGAAACCCATCTTTTTAGACAAGTTAAAAAAATTACAAGAAAACTGTATTTTGGGGAAACAGCAATAGCATGTTATAGAATTTCCATCGGCAACCTACAATGTCCTGAAGAAGAGAACTTCAAGATTTTGCAGTAGTAAAAAACCTACTACGTTAATATTAATATAAGTATTACTAATTCTATTAAAATATTACTACAGCAATATCTATAATAAAAGAGACAATAAAGTAACATATGATTATCAGGCACACGGAACAGGCATCTGAACCTTCAGTTATCAGTTAGGAGAAGGCAGAGAAAAAGCACTGGATGACAACACCTGTTAAAAAGAAGCTGCATCTGTGGGTGTACTAAAAATTAACCGAAGCAAGTAGGACAGTCATGAGAAATTATGAACATTAGAGAGACCTGAGTTTGCACAAGCTGCCTGCTCCAACTTAATACAAAAGCACGGTTATGAAATGACAAAATAAACGTAATGGCGAGCAATAAAGCTGGCAAAATCCTAGATGGCTGGATGTGGTTCACTGCACCTACCATAGCTTTACACCAAAGGCACTTCCAATCTTGCAGGCGTAAAACACTGCCACAAGTCTTGTCACAGACTGCACATTTGGCACTGACGGGCAGATTACCCTCTAACCACTGGTGAGGCATAGCTATCTGTGAAGAAGTAGTTATAAAAGTTAAATAGTCAGAAATATAAATTAGAGGGGTTTGTCTCTCAAATATAGGTGGATTTAACTTATTTCCCACAGCTCTACCTGTTCAAAGAAGCAGGTATGGCTGACCAGGATAAGTGACACTGATGCTCCCAAGGCAACAGCTATGAATGTGGATTATGGTGGCATTCACACGCTAGGCAGAAAATGTGGCAGCTGAAGAAGGGAGACACATCTCATTCAACTATTCATGGTACTGTGTCAGCAACTAACTACAAAACAACAGGGCAGGTAAATCTACAGACTCCATAATACAAATAAGTACCCGTTCACTTAACGGTGACTACGTGACACAAGGCAATTAAAATAACTAAAATTCAGAATAATAGGCAGAACAGCAGAATACCTCCGTGGCTTTACGTACCCCCTCACCATGACTGGTAAGTCCCAGCTCTGTGAAGCAGTCCCTAAAGGCAGTCCAAAGCTTTACTCAGTGCACCCTTTGTGCCATTAATACCACAGGCAACTCAGGACATTCATAGGTGTGCAACTTAGTACCAACCTTCCAGAAAGAAGTTTCACGCCAGTGGCACATACATAGTTATGTCTGCAAAAATAACCTATCTATCACAAAAAACCTCTGAAAAGCTTTTGTAATTTCTCTTGATAATTTTAAAATTCCTGCTTTCATCAGTAAAACCCCACACACGTGTCAGTGAATTTCAGACAGGCCTCCTGAGGAACAACTATTGGTAAGGAGGATACAAAACACATTGCCAAAACAGCATGGTAACAGTATAAAATACCACCTTTGCTTAAGAGCAGTAGGAGTTTCTGGGAGCAACTCTCCAGCTTCAGAGCTTCTCTGCATGTGTCCTTTAAAATCTTTTAACACGGCTGCAGTCTAGTGCCCACAGATACTAAACTTGTATTGTAAGATAGGAATATAACTTTTATTCTCAATACCATGTTAATCTTTGAAAAGTGTTCAGGAATATAGTCACCTACCATTAACTTCAATGGGTCATATGGCAAATTTTCTATGCTTAGCCTTTTTTCCCCCCCCTCATAAAGAAGAAATAACTTTGGAAAATACTGTAAATATGAATAGTACTTACACCATCTTCATCTTCAATGATGTCTTTTCCAATTGAAGCTAATGTAGTCCATTTGCAGTTATTTGTTGCTCGGACAGCACATCTTTTATGTGCTTTGAACTTACACACTGGAAGGCACACATAAACATGTATACGATGTTATTTGCTGTATTTCAGTGATGCGTATCTTTCAAAAAATTAAACACAGATATTCCATAAAACAGCCAAGTACATGTCACGTAGTGTTGCACACATGACACAACACAACTAAAAGAAAATTCAGTTCATAATCACTCCATTTATCTCTTTAAACTGGCTTTAACCACTTGGCTGTAGCCCATGTTAAGCGTGTCCTCAAATCCACATGGTCCCCATTTTTTCAGGTGCAATGCAAGGTACAAAAATATCTTTAACTGTGTTTTTGCCTTTTCTATTCCTCCAGTGACACAACTCAGATACTGGGCTTAAATTTGCAAGAGGTGATAGGAGAGTGTTCCACAGAAGTCTTTTGCTTCAGTAGCTCAGTTTCTTTGCTTAAAGGATCTCTTTCGGGCACCATACTATGCCTGTTTTACCAAAAGCTGAGAAAGTGAAGGGTCAGGTGGTGATGTATTTATTCAGGATACTGGTAGTTACAATATTTTCCAAGAGGTTACATTAAGTGAGGAAGAGCCTGACTTCTTACCGGATTATTTATTAAAAATCTACTAATTGGAATACTCAGCACATGTGAGTAGTACAGGCAGACATTTTGGCAATCTAATAATTATTAGTATTTTGTTCAACTCAATTAGTATGACTAGTTAATGATATCCTATTAGACCAAACAGATTGATGCACCCAACTGTGGGTAAATCTGTTACTGGAAGTGCATGACATCATTCTATTTAGAGTGCATTATATAAATCATTTTGGCAAAGACCATTAAAGGTTTATGAGAACTAGCCAACAGCCCAAAAGTAGTAGTCTCTTTACAAGCAAGTATTTGACAGGAAACTATCAAAAGCTTTGGCCCATCGTTTGTCCACCATTAAAAAACATTAAGCCAAGGTACAAAAGGTCTTGTGAATCATAGATTTCTCATTTTAATTCCACTGATACACTGCCAGATCAATTAAAAAAGCGAATTGAGATTATGTAAGCAACATCTGAGTTTGATAGCAATCCCTGCTGTTCTAAGAGATGCATGAAAGTATGTGCTTAGCTCAAAGAAACAGAAAAAGGAGTCTTACTGCTTCTAAAGGAACTACCCTGGTCATTTTGAAAAGCAGCATTCATAGACCCGAAGTCTGCAAATATCCCATATTCCTCGACTAATAGGGTAGGCTCACATTTTGAAAACAGCTCAGCATCATATTGTGTGTTTGCCAACCTAAGGTGGTTCCAAGAGTCTAAAGAAGTCGGCTCTCACAGAAGCACAGAAACAAAGGCTGCATTTTCAAGTGATGGGCCTTGAGCAGTTTTGCCACTTGAATGTTTTGGAGAAGATATGACACTGAATTCAGCTTCCTACTCATAAATGATACACATGTGCCTTTGTCACACAGATCAAAATACAACAAATTAGGGATGAGGGGCAATAGGAAATTCCAAATTACAAAAGTATAACCAAGTAAGGGAATTCTCAAATCCTCTTGAACTACAATTCAGCTAGATCTCAGGACCCTGTATTCAACCTCTGCTCTCTCAACAAGGCAAGGACAAATTCAAACCCAGGATCTGAAGAGCTGCAGCAAGCCCCACCATGAACGGCAAGTGACAGCTAATGTTTGCTTTGTAGGTACAGTATATAACTTACCAAATCTCAGATCAGACTTTCTGTAGGTCACCCCCCTGCAACCTCAATATCATCAAACAACAATTCATATTACTCTGAGCATTAAACATCACCAAAAATAATGACTTTCAGACACAGATGTAACTTTCGAGCAAAATACGTAGTAGTACAGAAAAGGAAAGTATAGAAAGGAAAATCTGTAATCAAATCTCAACCTCAGTTACCACTACCTCCTAATTTCTTTTGTCTCAGATGACGCTGCATCCTATTAATGAATCAGACTGATATCTCAAATCTTTTGGAACCATGCAGACATACCGCTAGATTTCAATTGCCTTTGCTCCACTAGTAAATGTTAAAAGATGAGAAAAGGAAAAATTTAGCCAAACCAAACCTAGAATATTCGTAGAACGTTATTTTAAATTTTGATTTCCTATGTAAATGTTTCTAGCTGGAATACGAAGCAGGTATCTCAGAAAGCCAACCAAGAGAACCACTTAATTAGCAAACAGTTGTCACAGTGGTGCCAACATCTGCTGTCAGACACAGTGATTAAATCTAGAGCTATTATTATCTATAATGAAGTCAACATTACTGAATGTTATCATAGGGTCTCTTGCACTGAAAATATACACCTTTGTTATAGAATACTTCTATCTCAAAAGTCTTTAATTCTAACCACCCATCAACTAATTCAAAGACATTGGCAGGACACTCAATTTTTTTATTCCCCAAACTTACCACCCTACCACCTATTTTATGATGTTTTTCTCTTCTGTGTTCTTCAAAGAAGAATTAGCTCAGACTGCTCTTTTTCAACTTAAAAGACAAAAGCCAAAGTTTTAAAACTGATCTGAAGATCCCTGAGCTGGTATCTACTTTGTCAAAACAGAAGTATTTGCCTTCACGTAACCCAAGAAACCTGCTGTTTTGTTTTCAAGAACACTGTGACATGATGGATGGACAAGCCACAATGAAAACAGTGACTCACGTGAAAACAGCAACTTAACTTTACTCCAATTTGAAACTTATAGCTATGTTATAAAGGATAAAATTCAGCAGTTTCTTGGTAGCTTCTTACTATTTCCACCCAAATAACTCTCTAAGTTTATTTAATATTACAGAGTGCTAAAAGAATACTCATATTACTAAGTCAAGTACTATAAAGTTAAGTTACTCATGCAACTTAACTTTTTGCATTGTAGCTTTGCACTATATCTTCTACATGCAGGTGTAAAGTCTTCAGTTATATGATTATACACTTTATGAGAATAGGGCCTCATTCACTGTATGCTGTGGATGGTTCTTGGTAAGTATGCAACTGTGCTGTACTCCGGTTCATAATCATTCTCAACAGGTATCTGCCTTATTTAACAAAAACTAATGAAATATTGCTTTTTAGAGACCAGTATTATTTTCTTCCAGGCCTTTAAAAATTATCATTGTTATTATTACACTTAGTAGTACTATAATAAAGATTTTCTTTTTCAATACTGTATATCTTTGAAGTATCCATGACTTCAAAACAACTTCAACTGCTCTTTGCAGTTACAGAAAACTCAGCATTTCTGTAATACAGGTCCCAGATTACAAACAACACACAACTACTGATTTGATCAAAAATCTTATTTAAGTGATTTCCCTAGGATAACGGAGGGGCACAGTGTGATACAAAGTCGTAGAACATAGTTTTCTATTAATCCTTAATTCTTTCGCAATGAACATCCCTTCTCTTCCTGACCGGTTCATTCACTACTCGCTCTCCGGCCTGTGAAGAAAATGTGGCAAAATTCCTGGAGACAATGACTACCCAAGTAGTTTGTGTACAATACCCTGTGTAGTGAGCAGGAACAGGGGTTTGTGGGAAAAAAAGCCCCAATCATAATGAAAAAAGACGAAGTGCACAAAGTGCATTTACAGAGGCAATTTACTCACAGTATTTTCTTATTGCTTGACTTCACAATCTTAAAGTGTTCTTTCAGTATTGTTTTTTTGTGCAAATTCATCATAGCAGAAAGCATTTCATTTCAACTGTGATCTCCAGCTTAGTAGGTATATTTGATATTCAACAGTCAAGATTCAGTCATGATAATGAAAACACTACATGAAGAAATACATCTTTGAGGATAATCATAAAGGCAGTGTTCCACTGCTAATGACGTGGATAGAAGTGAGGTATTAATACAGAGTAATTGAGGCTAGAGAGCTTTGAAAGTTTTTGTAGATAATGATCTATAGTTCTTTAGGTTTCTTTGCCTAAACATCCTGTGTATCCCTGTGTTTACCCGACAAATTCTTAGACTTAAACTCCTGAGCATACAGCAAGCTAAACTCTGAATAAGAGAAAAATTTGAGGAGCATAAAGAACAAAAGCCTTATTTGATTCAGTTAGTTTGAAGTAATTTTGAAAGCAAGGCAAAAAAAAAAAAAAATTATAATTTCTCTGTCCTAGTAAAGACTGTGGATGAATGTTGCAGAGATTAGTCCTTCAAAGCTAGCTAGAGCAACACAACACACATACAACATTTGAAAAGTAGATTATCTTCTGAGAATACACAAAAGAAGGAACTGGTGGGAGGAATAGCATTGCATCTCAAAGGCGTGTATGATTAATTTTTGTTAAAATTAATTGGGTTTTGAGCAGTAGAAAGAATGAAGCTTGGTTTGATATTAATTTACATCTTCAGTTTGATATACATATTGACCCTTTGACTTCTAAAAAAATGCAAGTTCACACTATAGTCTTTTCACTATCAAAGGTATTAACATACCCTCTTTTCCTACACTGGCTTCCACAAAACTTACAGGAATATCTTCAGGGTGGCCTGCAATTAATTTGGTCAACCTTTGCTGAAGGCTACTGGGAGGGAAGGTGCCTTGAAAAAAGGAGGCACCCATCTTATCTCCAAAAGGAATGAGGCTTGTTGTGTAGTCAGGCTGAAAAAAGCAGTTGTGTAGCGCTGCTGGAGACTATCAAGTCTAAGAGAACAAAGTATTACAGGACTGATCTTCTAAAGTATCATAAACTTCAAAAAATGAGCAATGGGATATATTTTTATTTTTACCTACAGTTAACAGTCAAGAATCAGACCACAAAGAACACAAGCACTCTAAGCTACTTTCAAGATAACTTGGTGTGCCAGTAACCCAAACCACTGAGAGGAGGAAGAACTCCAATAACTCTTGAGAAGCCGCCTCTCATGCTTCTCAGTATAAGGCATAATAGAATAGCCTCAGATCAATGACCACACAAATAATTGAATTTAGTATAGGTATAAATGGATTCCCAGCGTAAAGCAGTGCTAGAGGTTTCAGATGCCAGGCATGAATATTTAAACAGTTTTTTTTAAAGATGTAATGAGAAAAAGTAGCACAGAATATGTCTGGGGAATCTTAAGACTCCATACTTCCTACATCGTCCCCTCAAATGGTGTATATTGCTAACACAGGGTAAGTCAAAAAAATAGATGGTGAAATGCATTAGGAATGCACATGGCAGAACCAAGTAAATATGAATTCAGTCACAGAAGAATTTCAGAGAAATAAGTAGTATCAAACCAAACTACACTTCTTAGATGAAGAAATAAAGGATGGTTAACACAGGTTTTTACAGTTCTACAGAATCAGAGTATTCCAGTAAGAGTCAACTGTCAAATGACTTAGACGTATAATTAAAGTTCTCCTTTTATTCTAAAAAATACTTTGAAAAAAGATAAAGAAAATAGATATACAATAGTAGCTTACAGGAAGTAAACTTATTAATAGATAAAAGAATATCATGCTATCTACATATAAACCAGTTCAGGTCATACACATTTACGGAACTGTAGACCAGTGAAAGCAAATCCAATCTACCTTCATGAGCCATTTGTAAAAACTGCTGAAAGATCAACTGGCATTAGAAATGTGGATAAATATAGTATTAGTTTGTAATAAACTATGCAGAAGGGTGACAAAGTCCAAATCTCAAAATTAAGGAAACTTTCTTAATGTAACGTTAGCACCAACACCTTGAAAATTAAAATTATACTTAGTAACAAGATAAGACACTGAAAAAAACAGAAAATAATGAACTATAACCATTAACATCCATAATCTTACAAGAACAATTCTTGCTAAACAGCCTTTTAAAATAGCTATACTAATTAACTTATGAAAGGATTAATTCTTTATGAAAGGAAATGAGTCTTTCATTTCTTTTGCCTGAGCAAATATAACTATTTGTACACAGAATCCATACAACTGCATTTTGGTTATGCTCATGATACTTCTATCTGCCAATATCAGACACTGAAAATACCATCATTGCCTTAAAAATGTCCACACTGCTTATACGCAATGGAAAACATACATCAGAGAAGCTGGAAGTAACTGTGCTACTTTTATTTTCTATGAAACATGTTCATCTTGTTCCCTGGCAACTGCACTATTAGCTACATTAAAAGCATGGACAATTCAGGACAGTGGGTTAACATTTCCTTTGTAAGATTTCTTTAATACACATTATTATGCTCAGACCTGAAGTATTGTAACAGCATCAATAACAGAAATGCATTTGCAGTTGGGTAACATGTATCCAAAAAATCAAGTTTTGGATGGTGGAACTGTAACTCTTGTTTGGACAGTTAACTACTTCAGTAATTCAATATCTCTATATTTCATATGTATCATAAGGTCACATGGATGCTTTATTTTCTGCTGGATTCTAACACAAGTAAATTTGTTACCACATTTTCACAGAACTTGCAGCAGAAAATAAATAAGCTGTTTCAGGTTTATCATAAATATTTGTTTGCAAGATACCATTTCTCTAGATAAGCTTACTACTGATATCTTAGCCACTTAGTCCTTTTCCTTTGGGCCGGATTTCATCTGTTGAACCATCAAAACACAAAGGCATCCACAGGAATACCCCCTCATTGAATGAGAGAATTTTTAAAGCAATAAATCTGTCCTTATCTGTCCTGCCTGTGCTGCAGGATCAGGCAGCAGCAACAGAACAAACAAGATCAGGAGGGGAAGAGGTCATAACGCCGAACAAAGTGTTAAGAATTTTTATAAATTTCAGGCAGAAACTACCATTATGTTTTTTTCCTCCGAGGAATACTGAGTCTGCAAACCAGTAAGACTATTTTGTTTCACATTTTTGACAGGCAAATCAAATAAGCCCTATATTTTCTTGCAAACCATCCACCCAGCACATTCCAAACCGGTCACTGCAGCAGAAGGAACCGGTTTATTGCTATGAGTTAGAAAAAAGCACCTGGAACTTGAAGAAGGTAAGCCAGATCATTAGCAGTCCCTCTGCCCAAAAGAAAGTCACTCTTTACTCATTATTTTCAGAATCTTTACTCGTCTTAAACTTTCAGCCATCTGTCTACATACGCAGGATTATAAACAGGGGGAAGAAAGTGTTTATTTTACCTTCACAAGACAGGCCGTGAGAAGTGACTCCAGAGAGGCTCTCTCTACACACGTTACAGAAGGTAGGTCGGGCATGGGAGCAGGCGTACCAGTTATGCATCCCTGAGAAATGTTCCACATTAAACTGTGCGGTCTAGTAAAGGAGAAGTTAAGACAAATTTGCAAGTACAGAACACAGCTACGGTGACTGAAATTCCCTACGGTTCCATATTACAAGGGATGGCAATGCAGTGTTTACCAAAAGTATTTTCCAAAAGGTAGCCTGCACTCCCTCCAAAATTCTAAACAAAAGTGTGACAATAAGCTCTCATTTTGCTAGTAAAGGTCCTAACATGAAGCTTCGCTCTGACATTAGACAGACTTTCCACACTAAGGAGAGTGAATAATCCAGTTCTGTGTCCTGTAGCTTGATCTGTTGAGCTACAACAGGTTGCACCAAGAGGGATGGCAACTTACCTCATAGTGTTCTCTGGACTGAACAGACTTCAGAGAGCTTATCCAGTCCTCCATTTCTTTTCTGTTCTCAGCACACAGTATTAGCCTCCTAAATGGAGTGATTATCTGAAAAAGATAACACATTCTGATTAATCCAGAACACAAGATATTAAACGCTTAAAAATATTTTCTTTAATACACTACCAACAACAAAGGAGTTTGCTTCTCCTGCTTCAGTTCCCAAGATTCAAATCAGGCTTCGGTATAGGTCTTTACAATCTATATTGATAATTCCTCCTTCTCAGCTCCTTGTCTATGCACTCAGATTTAAATACTCAAGTGACAGGCACTGAAGCTGCTAAAACAACCTTTCTGGAAATCACTAACTGAGTGAGATTGAAATCCTATTTCATAACAGCATTATAGCAACTGCAAGGTCCATTCCAACTGCTAGAGATAAAAACATACCAAAATCAAAAGCCTGAAAGTCTTAAACAACAACAAAAGCTTTCATCATATTTCTCTATCTTGTATATTAAGTTTACACAAATTTAAATATATATAAATATAAAAGAGAACTTTCTATATAAAACTTAGCATAAGAACACATACACGTTTTTTACAAAAAAACACAGAGAACATAAGTAAACAACTGAAATCATAGCCTGCTAGGATGGCTGAGTGAATTCCTGGAACAAGTTGATGCTGGGGAGTTTTCAGTGGTCTGGAGTTAGATTCTAGAAATCTGAAAACGCTGCATCCAGGAGGTTCAGAATATAAGTTGTTTTCCCTTCTCCCTCACCAGTAGAAAAATAATTAAAATAACAGGAAGGCACCAGAAACTATCAGCTAACTCCCACTGAAATTATTTTGAGCACTGCACTAAAATAGACGAAGAAGTTACTTACATAGCAAAGAATTTAAAACTAAATACGTACATGAAATTAAAGGAAAGTTATTTGTTTTGTTGTAGAAAGTCTGAAAAATAAAATTAAATCCTTTATCAGTCTTATGCATAAATCTACTGCTTAGTATGTATGACCCATACCTGCAAATTACTTAAGTAAAACAAAGAAAGGACCACCAACAAATGATAGCTCAGATTTTAAATGCTACAGGCTAGACATTGTAATATTTGCACAATATTAGTAAACACTTCTCTACAGCTGCATTCACTTACCCAATCTCTGCTGTAAATAGTCTCTAGCCTTGATTTGTCCTATCCACTTCTTCATTTAAACTGCGCTGCACTTTAACGTATCTCAGAGGCAACGTAACTGAAGTGCAGCAAGCTGCAAGTCACATGGAAGGGAGGCAAAACCCTGTGGGCTTGATTTTTTTTTTTTGATGTACTCACTTCACATGGAATGGAATAGTTTTGCTGTTTTTTATTTCCTTCAATCTTGCTTAAGCTTTTTAATAGAGTTTATTAGTAGCTCTCCACAGCTCTTCCTAAAGAACAGTTAATGCAAAGAGCAATGCTTCTCTCATTAGTTTGGAGCCAAACAGACGCTTTATTACTTCAAAATGTTTTTCTAGGCCAGGTCATCAAATGAAGCCCAGAAAAGCCATTAAATCATAATATAACCCTGGCTCCAACAACAATCAGCATTCTGCTGGAATTTCCAGGTTTCAGTGGACTCCGAAATCTTATTTGGGCAAATACACCCACCAGATTATTTCCTATTATATAGTATGACATTATAATACGTATTAAGTAAGAACAAGTCCACCCAAAACTCTGCACTTTGTGTCCATCCCTCCTCCCATGCTCATTACTGATGGCAAGCTGTAACTAGATGTTGTGAAACTACATTAAGCATTAACAGCGGCATTTATTTCTGAAGACTTCTAACAATCTTGATCTTTTAAAGTAATATTTATTTATATTCCTCATGTCTTTAACACTACTGATCACAGAAATCCCCTGTGAGTCCTCACACTCTCCCCTCCCAAAATCAAGGACTTAGTTCAGTTGTTCACACTCAGTTATCTAGTGCCCATGGAGATGCCCTTTGGTATCCAAAGCATCTGGCATGGGGCAGGTAGATAAGACAGAGGACCGGAACACGCAGAAGAGCAGCTATAAATAAGCCAGGGGGGGACAATAACAGCCACCTCAAAAGGTACTACACACCCATGCACTGGAAACCAAACCACGTCACCAGACGTTCCTAACTAGTGCATGTAAACATGCCAGAAATTCCTATATCCCAACCTCTTATTAAATTCAGAGCATAATAAACTTAATAAAGTTCAGAGCATTTCAACAATCTAAAAGTTAGATTAAACTCTCATGATCACATGAATGTAGGATCAATTATTATTAGTGCTAAGAAGTGGAAAGTTGGAAGTCATACATATTAGTAAATACTGTACCTATAAAATTATGAATAAACTACATATTCTCTTTGATTCACATATTTTTAACACGCAAACTTCAAGAAAGTATATGATAGCATGAAAAAAGACAAAATGCATTATATGCCAAAAATATCAACAATGCTTGGAATTTTTCATGAAAAAAAAAAAAAAAGAGAAACTAAGCAGTCCATTTAGATTCTCTTCTATTTCAGTCTACAAAATCATTGAGATGATGTGCTTCTGTTATTTATTTATTAGATATTTCATGTAACATAAGAACTCAGGGAACCAAGGAAATTATTAGCAAACAACAAGAAGTGTTTTTTTCCTGAATGTAACGCATTATTTAGACTTGAAAAATATTCCTGAAGAATGTTGAGGAGACTAGAAGTATAAATGCCTAAAAAAGGTATTTGACAAATTCATCATGAATAGATGCATCATATACTGTAACACGATATATGAAACTTTCAACTTAGCAAGTTCCCAAAATCCAACAGTGAGCGAATGTTGGAAGTTACGCAGGAGGAAGAATCACTGTACGTGCTCTGCTGCTTACACTTCTTTCCTGAGTACCTGCTACTACTATTATACTACTTTGATTCAGTACGGTTTCATGAGCTTTACACTAATTCAGTGTAACTCTTCTTTGTCTTAAACTGGGAATGACTTCCTACACCTTATTTGCATTTACACAGAAGGCATGCGTTCCAATGGATGCTTAAATAAAGTTATGATTAACTGAAGTGAGATGTTTAGAGTATATTCATTAAAGACACTTGAACCTCTATGCAGACATAATCAAAATTAAAATGGATTTAATGGTCCTTAAAGCTATTTTTCAGCCTTGTAAATTTGGATTTTAGCAGTAATCTTATCTCATTGCATGTAGTCATATTCAAAGTCCTGTATTTTCTCTTCTACGAAGCAAAGTCAGTATCTTTTCTTCTGTTATATATTACCTTTTTAAAAAATTAATCCTCACTGCCCCAAATGTTATTATTTATATGTTACTTGAATATGCTAAACTCTCAACAGAGAAGAAGAAATTGTATAATACAATGACAAAGGAAGTGTCACAGGAACCACTGGAAGACCACTGATGTAACATAAGAATAAGAAAACTCTTAAACCTTGGAGGAACTCAGGTGCTAATGGTTCACATGCTGAAAAGGCAGGAGAGAAATCAAGAAGGATGAAGACAGACAAAAGGGCTCAAAAATAAATAAATCAAGTAGATTTAATTTAGAAGATTAAGTTACTTTGAAAATTTTCATCGCTGTCAAGTAGCCAAGAAGAAGTCATTGCTGATTTTGGAAGAGAGAGTTACTAAAGCCAGATACTGCAAAGTATTGGAAAGCAATGAAATTGACGTAGTGGGAATAAAAAATGCTTTTAATGCAGTAGGCATAGGGAAAGTGTGAGCATATACAGTCTTAAAAGTTGACAGCAAACAACAGAAGTCCTAAAACATCATAGGGAATAAAGAATGCTTTGGATAGGAAGAAAAGTGGTGCATTACTGTGGTACTGTTCCTGTTCTGTACAGAAATATATGGGGGGTTTTGAGTGGAGAATGAAGGAGAGAACAAGGGGATGTTGGTCACTCTGCCACCACATAGGACTTGCCATAAATTGGGATCTTCACACATGCTGACACTAGGATGACTTGGCTCCTAAAAATATACACATACTCATATATGTACATACACATCTAGAAACTACTTTGATGGAAACTACACAGTCAAGTTCTGGGCCACTACTGCAACTTTTCTTTCAGAAAGCACCTATTAGGAACAACCTTAACACCTCGAAAGAAAATAAAATTGCCATTAAATTCAGTGTAAATTTGAAAGCACCTTCAAAGGGGCTAACTTTACTAATAACATACTATATGCCTTCAACCCAATGGGCTTAATCTTATGATCTGTAAAATAAAATCACAGAGAGTTCAATTAAAGCCTATTGCCTAATCTTTAACATATTTTATTGTATCAGCAGTATATAAGAAAATACAGTTCCCAAAGCTCGGTAGCTACATTTCTGGTTTCCTTTACCAATTCAAAGAAAAATGCAGACACTACATTTGCTAATCAAGAAAATAATAGTCTACGGTTTAGCAGCAACACAGCAGCTATTGTAAAGCACCCCACTTCCTGCAACATGATATTTGCATTAAGGCACCTTCTGCTGCTCTAAACTATTACCAGGCATTACACTAATTGCACTTTGTATGGACGATCTTGAATTGACTAATGTAGAAACAGCATTTAGAATTTGAAACGGGCAGGGAAATGGTTTTCTTGTTCTTTGAAGAGATAGTTTTAAAATATCTTTCTGGAACTAATGAAGAGAGGGTGATACAGAGAGCAAGCACCCCCACGTCTCCTTTTAGGGACTGCACCTGATGCCTGAGGCATGAACGTAAAAGATTTATTGCTTTGTAACTTCTCTGTTCTTCTAGATGTTGGGAAGTGAGTTCTGGCAAATACCTGGACAACATGTTATGCCTCCCTTGCTTTCTGTCTGCCCCTCCATTTCCCTGTCCTCATGCAGGTAGGTCCATATGAACGCGACAGAGGAATGCACCTCCATCACAGTGGTGGGAGTAGACTGCTGGGGTCACGGATGCTCCCGCACCTCTCAGAACTTGTCTGCAAAAATCAGAGTGCTAATAGTTGGGCAGCTTTCTACAGTACTTGAATTTCTTAGATTCAGGATACTGAAATAAATTATAACAGTATTGTCACTGTCAAAGGTGTA